AAAGAGGTAAGTGGTTGAGGGAAGAGGAAGAATTAGGCATCGTCTGCACCTGACGGAGGCCCCTTTCCAGGAAACAGACCTTGACATCAAGCAATTTGCGGTTCTGAAATGATCTTTAGGGTCAACCTAGTGCCCTCTGAAGGAAACGACCAACCTTTTCTTAGTTCATGTGTCTGTCTGTACAGCAGAAAGATCTGACTCATTTTTTCACCAGGTTGTAGAGGGTGACCTTCTGTCTACATGTAACACAGACGAAGACAGCTCAGCTTCATTATCCAAGTGCTTGGGAGCAGAGCAGAAGGGATGGATTCCCAGGTCATCCTAGGAATGGCCAGTCTCTAAAATAAGAAGGGGTGAGAGCTGGAGACACAACACCAGGACAGTGGAAAAAGTATCACCTGATTGTCTCCTTTTAGATCTCAGATGGATGTATCTTTTCTCTTGTTCTTTGTGCTTCCCTGTCCTCCCCATGCAGACTGCGGAAGAGAGAGAAAGCTAAGGTTTGTGGGTGGGAGGAGACACAATCCTGTCCCTCCCCATGTCTCACTTCACTAGGTGTAATGCAACTGAGGTGATACTGTCTGGGCTTTTTTGGGTATATCCCTGAGGATACAAGTCCCCTGTTTCTAGAAAGGACCTACAAGGTCACTGCTGTTCATGTGTATGTCTGAGGGTGGGAAAAGCAGAATGGGGGGGTTCATAATAATCACTTTTGAAGCCAAATATGCCCCACACAGGGCTAGTTCTTTCAAGTGAAGTTTGAAATCATATGGATGCCTCAACTATTCTGATTGGGATGGGTGGCAAAAAGGTAGAAGAGACAGGAACAACTGCCTTTGGGGGAAGTCCTGGCCAGAAGTTGCTAAGGTGTGCCGATCAAAACAGCCTACTGTTGTTTTGGCCAGAAAGATGTTTCCAGGCTCCTCTGCTAACAAAGAGTGTTATTCTGACAATCCAATTCAGTAAGCTTCTCTTCTTGTGGAGGGCCTGAGACAGGGGTGCTCTTGGATCTGGGGAATCTTGGAGCTAGGACGGTGCACAGAAAGATCTCCAGTCTTCTGATTTATAACAGAAGAAGCTATGCTCGGACTCACCCTCAAGGTTGGGATTGAAATAGGACAAACAGAATCCAGGTTACCAGCCTGGGCTTCTTTCTACTGTAGCTCAAAGTTAAATCTTGTCACAGCTGAAGTTTTGGGGCCACCCTGCTTGTCTCCTCTCTTTAAAAAAAATTTTTTTTTATTTATGCATACAAGAACTGGGGTACAGGCCAGACGTGTGGGGGGTGAGAGGATTCACCAGAGACAGAGTGGGGAGCAGAACAGGCAGACTGACTGAAATACACTGCTGAGGGGAGCAGCGGGCGAGTCAGGAGAGGTCTGCTGCATCATGGGGGTTGCTCCCTGGCCGGGGATCAAACTCGTGCTGCAGTGGCTGTGGACAACTTCATAGGTTGCGTCTTAACCCCTTGCACCACCAGGGAGGCCCTTGTCTCCTTTCTTGAGTGAGGAAATGAAAGTTTTGGGGTCTGTATCTTAGTTACTGAAATCCTTGGACAAGAAACATAGGTTTGTGACTAGAAGAAGAAATAATCTTTACTCCCATGTCTCTTTCTATAGATTATGAGCCTGAGGAAAATGCCTACCTGGAAAATGCCTATTCATTAAATCTCTTTAAGGTAGAAGGCAGGCTGCTTGGCTCAGGATTAGGCCAGCATATGTGTCCCAGCACAATCTACAAGGTGGAAGCTACCCCCAGGGGGGATCCAGGCCATTCACAGCAGCACTAGCCTTTGTTTCATGCTTTTGTTGGATAAACATTAAACCTACCTCTGTTTCCAATACAGAGTTTACCACTCTTAGAAGAGGAGACAAATCAAAAAACCTGGAATTCAGAGCTTTCAGCCAGCAGGGTAAAGAGACTAACAAAGAAAGGGAGTCCCTCTGTCAGTGGCGTTGTCTACATCTATAGGATCCCACACTCTTATTTGTTCCTGCAGAGTAAAAGGAGGCTAGAAATGCCTGTGTAACAATAAATCATTTTTCCTCGGCTATTTCATTTGCGTGTTGAGGAACAAGAGATGGCCAGTTTAGGAGAAAATAATTCCTATATGAATTTGGGGTGGGGTGTATGGTACAAGGTGGGATAATATTCCTCCTACCTTTTCCCTAGAAGTTGTGGATTTGAACTAAGAGGAAATAAACAAGGAACTTTCAATTGCACTTTTTTTTTTTAAACAATTTTTTTTTTTAAAAGATTTATTTATACAAGCCGTGGGTACAGTCAGAAGCGCGGGAGGATGAGAGAATTCACCAGAGCCAGAGCGGGGAGCAGAGCAGGCAGAAGGACCGAAGGACACTGCTGAGGGGAGCAGCGGGCGGCAGGAGAGGTCTGCGCGCCATGTGGGACCCTCCTCCAGTGGCCGGGGAGCAGCCGGGGATCGAACTGGCGCTGCAGAGGCTGTGGGCAGCTTCGCAAGCCAGCGCTCAACCACTGAGCCACCGGGGAGGCCCTCAATTGCATTTTCACTGGAAAAAAGTTGGAACTTATTTTTGAGCCAAATCCCTTAATCTACTGAGAGGAAGGGGCTCGCCCAGATACTTCAATGGAACTACATACACTCAGTGGGTAACAAAGACATTACATTTTGTGCATGAGACCTCAGCGTCTATTGACTAGGGCAATACGTAATGCTGAAGCTGCTAAATTGAGGGCAGCTCCCATCACCCTGGGGCCCACTCCAGAAGCTCCAGGGACCTCTCCTGCTTTCCTATGGTAAGGCTATTTTCTTTTCAGACTTTATTTTTATCTCAGGAGCACTCTTCTGACTGTTCTCATGACCCAGGGAGCTGTCTGGGCTCTCTGGCTTTAGGCTGTCAGTGGGGAAGGTTGAAGTCCCTCGAATAACACTGAGCAAGATTCACTGACCTACTGGCACACCCTTGAGATGAGGGATTCTAGGCTGAGCATTTCACATTCCCCTATCAAACAACAGGTTACAAAGATGATAGACACGGCCTTTTACTTGTCCTCAGAATCGGAGCTATCTTCAGTGGAAATATTCTATGTCATCGGACACTTGTTCCCTGGGAATATGAACACGTACCCTCACCCAGGCAAAGTGAACAAGTAACAATAAACATCGATGGTTAGGCTTCCCTCGCCGGGCTGATGGGAGGCCTAGGGCTGACATGTGAGCCAGTGGGGACTCTGGTGGCTTAGGTGGGAAGACGGGCACAGGGGTTGGTAAGAGTCATAGTAGCTCCTTTTGCTTATAGGAGAAGAGACTGAGGTGAAAGGTTTGCAAAACTTGACACAATGTGGCTGGTAACGCACCGAATTGTCCTGGAAGCAGAGTTAGTAAAGGGGTGACCTCAGAGGGGAAAAATTGGGATCCTTACTTCCTAAACATCTCACATCTAAAGCTCTGCGTTCCAGTAAATGCCCCACTGTCCTCAGCCAGGATTAGTCAAGACTTAAAAAGAAAGCACAGAAATCAAAGGAAAATTTAAAAAGTGGGAATCTACCCGCTGCAGAACAAGAGGAAGAAAATAACGGAGGAGGGGGCCTCGGGAGGTGCCCCAAGGCTGTTTCAGGAGGACCTGCCTCCGAAGCCGCCCCACGCCCTCCTCGCCTCCTTGCTCAGGCCTCGGGTGCTGAGTCTCTCCCTTCCCAGCCTCGCTTCTTTCAACGCGCCCTAGAAAGCACCCCAGACAGCACTTCTCGCGTCACCCAAAGTTTCTTCTCTACCGCCCACTCGGCTCCCCGCATCCCAGATCCTCCCAGTAGGCCCGTCTTTCTCGCGCACCCCCAGGTCCTTCATGTTTCCCTCCAGGTCCCTCCCGGCCCCGCCTTCTCGCTCCGAACCTCCTTCCCTCGTGCCCGCTCAGGGCGGCCCCGCGCGCCGCTCCCGCCCTCCCCGTCCCTGCCAGGACCTGGCTCCCGCCCTTTCGCGACGCCTGGGTCCCGGCCACCTGCCCCTCAGGCCCGGGCCTGGGCCGAGCCCCCGGGCCAGCGCCCGGCCCGGCCCCCCGGCGCCCCCGCGCGCCCCCGCCCACGGCTCCACCTGCTCCGGCCGAGCCCCAGGCCCCGCCCCGCCGCCGAGGCCCCGCCCCGCTCGGCGCCCAAGCCCCGCCCCTCACTCACCTGAGGCAGCTCCGCGCGCGCGCAGGCTGGGGGGTGAGGGAGTGGGAAGGTATTGGGGGACAGGAGGGCGGGCGGCGGGGGGTCCCCCACTCTGGCCCGGGCGGCCCAGTGCGGGGGGGCAGTAGGGTCACTGGGTTGGCGGCAACCGGGCCGGAGCCGGTACCCGGGCGCTCCGCGGTGGCGGCTCCATCCCCATCAGCGGCCTCACCTGAGGAGGGCCCGGCCCCCCCGCCAAGCCCCCCCATCACAGCCGGCCCCCGCCCTCGAACGACTTCCGGTCCCACTACCCGGCGACAGGCGGCTGGGCCGAACACCGAGCGCCCCCAAGCCGGGGAGACGGCCGGGGAGAGCCGGGAGAAGAGCCAGGGGAGAGTAGCCGAGCGCCGAGACGCCAGGCCGGAAGGCGCGGCCGAGAGCCGAGGGCGACTCCGCGACTGCCCCTGCATCTGCATCTGATTTGCAAACGAGGCGCACACTGGAGGCCCCACGTGCCCTGGCACCGCTTCCCCAAGTGCCAAGTTTTGCTCCCGCCCCTCCTATGGCAATATTGATTTAAAATTCAGCATTCTTTGCCTTCCCTGCCAAGTGCGTAGAATGGTAGCAGGGGAGGGACTTAAGGGTGCCAAATATCTTATCTGGGAGGGGGTTTGGGGTGCCAGCCTGAGGACAGTCACATAAGCGGTGCTGCAGATGCTTGACACACTTCAGAGAAGGAAGCCCCACTTCTGGGCTTTGCTGCTCCTGCTTCCTTTCCCCTCTCGGTTCACCTTCTGTCTCGGGTTGTCTCACTGAGTGCCAGCACTACAGCACCTCCCTCCTGCAGCGTGTTCATTCTCCAACCTCAAAAAGTCCCAAAAGTCATAATCATTTTTTTTCCAGAGTTGTAGTCTTCAACAGATACTTTATTGATGTACTTAGAAAAATGGGGCTACAAAGAGAGCGGGTTGCACCCCTCACAATCCCTGAAATCCAGAGGAATATAAAGTTGCATATACAAATACCCACACACATTCTCTGAAGAATACAAGAAGTAAAATAAGGCCTTAGTGGCGACAGGCAGTAGAAGTGGCGCAAGGGTAGGAAGAGAAAAGAGTGCTTGTCTCCAAAAATACTTCTCCCCGTCAGCCCCTTGCTCCTACAGCTCTCACCTCCTAGTACAGGGTCAATGGTCATGATGAGTGTATAACATAGTGTTAAAGGAGTGCAGGTGTCTGGGTGGAAATGTGCAATGTGTGTACCTGTGTAAGGTTCAGGAAAGCATAGTTCAGTGTTCTGATCCAAGAAGTAGAGATGAAGGAAAAGGTTTTTCTGTGGTAATAAAACCAAGGGTGGAAAGGGTGGTTCTAGGAAGTAAATGGTTCCATTTCACCTCATGGGGCAACATGGACACGGACACGGTGCCAGGCATTGCTGAGCACACCTCGAAGGTTCCAGATTGGGGCCACGGTATCCGGCTGTACATTGTAGCTGTCATCGACAGCCTTACAAATAATGTTCAATTCCTTTTTCCCGGGTGGCACAGTGGCTTGCAGCTGCCATAGTCGCCAGGCCCAGGCCTTCCGGGGGCGTTGTTCCTCCCCATCTAACTCAGCTGTCTGCCAAGTTAGGCCCCCGTCCAGGGACACATCCACCCGGATCACAGCCCTCCCACCACCACTCCATGCATAGCCCTTGACAGTCACCTCTCCTGACTCTACTGTCGCCCCCTCTTGTGGCTCTGTGATGGCTGACTGGATCGGAAGTTCCTGAATAGATGGAGCCGAATCAAAATCTACATTGTTCCAGTCCACAGATGGAGAGAAACCTTTGTAATCCCGTCGTTGCCAGTGGCTGAAACTTTCTTGTGGCTCCACACTCACTTTGCCCAGCCATTTGACATGGCGGGCAGCCACCACACCAGGAACCACCACCCGCACAGGAAAGCCATGGTCACGAGACAGAGGCTGTCCATTCATCTCATATGCTAGCAGGACCTCAGCTTCAGGGTTCATGGCCCGAGCCAGAGGGATGGATGCTCCATAGGCAGTCCCAGTGGGATCTGAGTCAAGCCCCTCAAAGCAGACGTGGGACTCAGATTCAGAGAGTCGGTGACCAGCTTTGGCTAAAACATCACACAGCCGTGCCCCAGCCCAACGTGCAGTGCTAATGGCCCCTGTGTTCCAGTCAAGACCTCTTACTTCTTTGACCTGAGTCATCTCAGAGCGCCGGTTGCCAGCACACTGCAAAGTGGCTGTGATCTCGTGCTTGGGGAATTTACGCAAGTCGGCCAGAGACAGAGACAGTGACTTACGCCCAGAGGGGCCAACAACATTTAGGCGGTAAGTGGCCGGGTCTAGATCAGGTACAGGCAGATGGTTCCGGGTGAAGAAGATCGGGTTGGGTGTAATGTAGTTGTCAGTTAACAGCCCAGGAGGAGACTCTGCATTATAGGGGCGCTGGCTGTTGACCTTCAGGGCTGGGTGACGTACAGGATCATTAGCATAAGGGTCAGAGGTCTTCAAGGTGGAGGGTGCCTTGTCTTCAGGGCTCAGCTCCCCAATCTTGTACTCAGCCAATAGCTCACGCACATGGGATTGGTTGTGAACAGCATAGAGAGCCCAAAAGGGCTCTAGAGGACCCCCAGCTGCTAGCATCAGCTTTGCTGGCCCCCCAGGATGTAGCTCCACAAATTCTGTGACATCAAAGACCTCATTGCCCAGAGTCACCCAGATTCTAGTCTCAGGGCTGCAGTGGGTACTCACTTCCTTCCTTGTGTAAATACGTGGTGACTTCTGTGCAGCCTGCAAACAGAGCAGGGGCGAGGCAAAAGGGAACAGATTAATAAGTTTACTCTGACCCTACCGAACAGATTAATAAGTTTACCCTGACCCCACCCACAAAGTTGTGGCCACTGGGAAATGAATGTAGCTGATTCCATCTCTACTGTGCACGAAGACAGTTCGTATGGGCTCTGCAGGGAGCTCACGAGCACAACTTGATTTTCACAGTGAAGCCCTTTCCTTCCCCACTTACCTTGCATCTATGGTCATGATAGGCCAACACTGCACCGAGGCCTAGCAGGGTCCCCACGACTCTCCATCCCCTTGTGCTGGAATGATCACCAGTGAAAGCAAGGCTGGGATGCTGGGACTGAAACGAGTCATTCGTAGAGCAGGCTCGAATGCAGAGCTGTGAGGCAGTTGACTTGAGTCTGAAAGAGAGAGAGGTCTTCTGCGTAGCACATTTCCTTCCCTCCCTGATCACATGAAAGGCCCCATGAAGGCCTGGGGTCTATTTCTCTCCCAGGTTGACCAGGGTTTCTTCAGTTGGGGTTTGGGATGGGTGGGACAAGTGTGGGATCTGGCTTTCTCTTTCTTCCTTGGCCAAGTACCAAATATCTTATCAGACAGATAAGACAAGACATCGTAAAGATAGGGGGAGGGAGATGAGGTCCACAGACAAATGCTAGGATGGGATACCTACCTGCAGGCTTGTCGGAGCCCCGGGACCACAGCTCTGTGCAACAGCAGCATTATGGCAGATAGGCTTGAAGGAGGAGGACTCTCAGGTTGAGATAGGGCGTCCTGGGATATGAGGCACCTTGAGGGAATGGGTGGGAGAAAGACACAAAGAAAGTCAATAAGGAGCTCTCTGGGCAAAACGAGGTATTTTTCTTTTTTAAATATTTATTTATGCATACAAAAGCGGGGGTACAGGCCAGAGGTGTGGGGGTGAGAGGATTCACCAGAGACAGAGTGGGGAACAGAACAGGCAGACTGACTGAAATACACTGAGGGGAGCAGCGGGCGAGACAGGAGAGGTCTGTGCCATGTGGGTTTCTCCCTGGCCGGCCCAGGATTGAACTTGTGCTGCAGAGGCTGCGGATTGCTTCATAGTGTGTGCTTAACCCCTTGCGCCACCAGGGAGGCCCAGATGAGATATTTTCCTATGATAAAGAGGCCCAAGGATGAGGTGGAAATGGGCCCTTAGAGAAAACCTGGAGCACTTCAGAGACAGATGATGCTGACAGGGTGAAAGGGGAAGGGGTCCAGGCATCACCTATCTCCCATCCTCCACCCTACTTTATCCACCACGGAGGACAATGCCAGGGGCCAAGGGCATAAAGGACCGAAGCCAAATATCTAACTTCCAGTTGACCGGTTGATTATTTTCTTTAGTCAGCAGAGGACAGCTGAGGAGTAGGTAGGGGAAAAAAAGGTAAAAAAAAAAAAAAAAAAAAAGTGGCAGCTTATGGAGTGAAACAGCCCAGATTCTGAAGTCAAAGTGCTTTGGGTTTGTGAAAATGGCCTGTTATTAACCTGGCCTGCTCCAGGGCCGCGTGTCAAGGCTCTCTGAACTTGGGTCCTCATCAGTGAAATGAGATTTACCTACAGTAAACAAGTCATAACTTTGTCTTTGAAAGCCTTTCAGTTCCTTTTTCTTCCTCCACCCACTGGGAATTGAACCCAGCTGGAACTGGACAGGAATCCAGGGTCCCCACCCCTACCTGGCCTATGCTGTTCCGGCGAGCTCAGCCAATTGCGGAGTTAATGACCAGAGTCAGGGGATGGGCTAGAGAGGAAGGTGATTTTTCTGCTCTCTGTCCTGCAGGAGCAAGAGGCGGGTCACTGACCCCAAGACGGCAGAAGCCCCGCCGCTGAGATGTTGGCGAGGGCGGCCAGCGCCTCCTCCACGGGGACGGGGCGGGCGCGGGGCTGGGTTTACTCGCGGCCGTGGGACCCTCCCGCCCTCCCCCGCCCTGGCTGCCCGCTGGGGCCGCTCCGGCGCGGTCCCGGCAGGGCGGCCCCGAGGGTGACCTGCGTCAGCCCCGCGCCCCGGCTTGGCGAGCGGCCCGCGCTGAAGGGGCCGGCACCTCCCGCGCGCCGCTCCCGCCCGGCGGGCACTTTCTGCCGGAGCCCAGCCCCGGGGCTCCGGCTCCTGCGCAGCATCTGGCGCGTCGGAGGCGCCCCCGAGCGCGGGGCAGCGGCAGCGCCGTCGCGCTCGGGGTTCAGCGCCGCCCCCCGCCCCCCGGCCCCCGGCCCCGCCGCCGCGCAGACCCCCGCGCAGACCCCCGCGCCCGGCCGGCCCCGAGCGCTCACCCGGTCCGGCGTCCGCGCGGCGACTGTCTCCCCGCCCGGCCCGCGGCGGCTGCTGCGCGGAGGCGGGGCCCGCGCCCGACGTGGGGCGGGAGGGAGTCGGGGACCACTCGCCCCGAGCCCGGCCCCCGGCTATTGGCGCGCGGGGCCGCCTCCCGCGCCGCGCCGCCTCCTGGAAGCCGGGCGGGCGCGGCGCGGGCGGGGCCGGGGCCGGCGTCTCCCGCCCGCCGGGCGAGCCCGGGACCCTCCCGGCCCGAGACGCGCGCGGGGGCGCGAGGAAGGGCGCGCCGGGGGACACGGCGGGGGCGGGCACCCCGCCCCTCGGGCCCCGCCCGCTCTCTCGCGGCGCGCCCCGCCCCGCCCCGCTTTTGGCAAAGGGCTGTCGCCACTAACACCAGCCTGCTTGTCTTCAGGGAAAACGATCAATTACCGTAAACTCGGGAATGGAGAGGCGAGGGTTCGAGGCTTCCAGGCGACGCCCTCAGACCCCGGAGCCAGCGACACGCAGCCCCGTCTGCGTGCCGCGCGGCTGAGCAACTACACACATGTGGGAAAGTTGAACAATTGCCGTTTTCAACAAAATGGAGGAACCTAAGGAGATTATGTCAAGTGAAATTAGATAAATATTGGGCGGTTTCACCTACACGCGCAATGCAGGGAAACGGAGGCGGGCGGACCCAGGCCAGGCGACGCGGGCACCGAACTGAGGCACCGCAGTGCAGACGCGGCCGGGGGCTGGAGCAGGGAAGGAGGGGCACAAATGGATGGCGTTTTTTTTTTTTTTAAGATTTATTTGTTTTTATATTTTATATTTTTATAAAATATTTTTATTTATGCTGGGGTGCAGGCCTGAGGTGTGGGGGGTGAGAGGCTTCACCAGAGACAGCGGGGAACAGAACGTGCGGATTGACTGAAATACACTGCTGAGGGGAGCAGCGGGCGAGTCAGGAGAGGTCTCCTGCGCCATGTGGGGAGCTCCCTGGCCGGGGATCGAACCCGTGCCACAGTGGCTGGCGCCAGCTTGATAACACTGAGACTTTATTTTAACCCCTGTGCCACCAGGGAGGCCCCCACGGACGGTGTTTTTTCCTTTAAAAAAAAATTACATCAGAAATTATAAAAATCATAGTAACAGTAATGACATCTTAACACCTAAAAACAGGAAGGTTATAATCTCACCATAAAGTACATTAACAGAATACACTGGCTAGTAACACTTCATAATTCCCCGCGGAACTGGAAGTTCGTCATTGGCGGGCTGTAACCCGGGCAGACGTAGCCACAATGCCCTCTGCAGATCAGAAGTCGAGCTACAGCCTTACTCAGAGCGGAGGTCTTCATCTTCAATCTTGGAAAATCATTTCCCCTTCTAAACTGACCTAGAGGATTTTTTGTTTGTTTTTAACCACAAATCAAGGAGCCGTGGGGAGGGGTGGGGTGGGGGTGGATACTGAAATAGAGGGAAAAGGGAATTGATAGTGAGAAAGTGATTTTGGCTTTAAAGGTTTTAGAAATAGAAAAATTTCCAGTTAATTGCGGAGACTTGATAGCCAACATATCCCACCCACCTTAAAAAAAAACATGCTCACCCCACGGATACAGACAAGTCACTTAGGAACTGCCTAGAGTCAGAGTCAGGTGAGACTCCCCAGATATTGCCATCTTGTGTGCCACCCGTGCTTTATGTAGTTGACCTTTCAACCTCAACTTTTCTTCATTTACAGAAGAAACAGATGGAGAGCAGCTAAGTAACTTCATCAAGGTCATAGCTGCTAAGTTAGTGGAGAAAGAACTGGAATTTGAGGCCTGCGTGGCACTAAGCTTCTTTCCTGTACTTCAGATTCTTTGGAATTTAAAACTTCCAAAATATACCTAACTTTTCTCTGTTAATCCCCCACACCGCCACTCAGACTGTGATGGGCTAAAGGGCTTCAAGAACAATAGGATATAAGCACATCCAGGAGAAATTTTCCTGTTGGGGTGGAAGCCACATGATCAAATGAAAATATTAATTCAATGATTTTTTAAAACCTTCTTTAGGTCATGGATTCTCCAGAGATACTCATAAGGCAATGTACATAAATTTTTGCAAAAGACTTTAAAGGATTCACAAATACCACTGTCTCCCACCAATCTTACCAATTATCAATTTACTGCCTAAAGGGCCACAATCCCTGTTCCCCCCCATACAGGACCTATATATGTTAATAGGACCTAAAAAAAGTATGGTCAGATTTGACCAGCTCTTTAGTGACTTAGAAATAAGGGTGACTAAACAGCAACAAAGGGGTTATTTCCAAATTGGATTATCTCACTATTCAAGAAAAGATGAAGAAATAAGGAAATACCAAGATTCAGCAGAAGATGTGTTTCTGAGTCAATAAAACATTATTGGGTTCCCTTTCCCCCAAATTTATAGTATCAGACAAATAAAAAAAAAGCAACACTCCAATACAAATATCTTTTTTTTTTTTTTTTTTACTTACATTAAATACATCGGTAAATCAGCAGTTGCATTCTATTACCACGATTGTTATGTTGGGAGAGGAAGAAAGGGGGACGAGTCAAATGCTTTTTAGAAGAAAAAAAAAAAGAAAAGAAAAAGATTATTCCCCCACTAAAAAACTGACCATGAGAAAAAAAAGAGCTGGGAATTAAAAACTAAGATTTCCGAGTCAACTGAACCACAAAGGAAAGCAAAGAGCTGGAAGGAAATAGAGAAAGGCAGCAGATAGGCCCAAAAGCTAAGGCCAATCCTATTCTTAAGGGGCACAGGGGAGGGGAACATCCTAGAGAAATGGTTTTGCAACTCCAAGGCAATGAAACATCTTCACTCCTGCTCCATGGGGAAAGATGTGCAGAAACAAAACTTCATTTCTAAGAGAGAGAGCCATCCTAGTTCTTCCATTTGTTAAGGATGCACTAGGTGCTTTGGGGGTTCAGTGGGTGCTGGGAAAGGAAGGAGAAAATCTGTGTGTGTTTCAGGGCCACGGGAACTAAGGCTGCCCCTGGAAAAGGAAGGGAATCGAGGCCTCAGTGGAGTACCTAAGTCAGGTCTTTCGAGAGCTCAGCTTCATGGATTTCTCAGCTACCCAGGGACAGAAGAATGTCTGTTTGCCAAAAGGGCAGAAAGATTCCAATCCTAGGTCACTGTGGCTGTTCTTATTTTCCAAAACTCTGGGCTGGAACAAGAAGGAGCTGAAGAGTTCTTTCTTGCCTTGATGGCTTCCCAAAGACATCCTAAAAGACCTGATGAGGGGCGTGAAGAGAGGTTAAAGACCTAGAAAGGACAGATGTCCTCTGGTGATATGAGGCATCTATGAGGGACCTTTAGTGCTAGTCATTCCCTGTCTGCAGGAACAGGTGGTATAATATGAGGGGGCCGTAAGTCGGCTTCTGTGGTATTAGCCCCTAGTGGATTAAACCACTGGTCGTATAAAGGGTGGGCATGGGAATAAGGACGGAGAGTCTAAACTGAAGATATTAATAGAGGAGGAAAAAAAAATAGGGCCTGATGGGAAATGGGGGGCAGAACAGACTGTACAGTGGGAATAAAGGCTATACTTATTTACAAGGAGATAGACACGAAATGGTAATGAGTGACACAAATTGAATGTGCAACCTGGGAAAAGACAGAAAACTCTTCCTTCCTCACTCCCCTTCCAGGGCTTGTGCTATCCCGAGACCACTGTCCAGTTGCTCTGTTCATTCCCCAGGAAAGGCAAACCTCTACCCAAGAGCTAGGTTGGCAACAACATAGGTTACAAATCAGAGTTGGAGGAAGCTAGCAGTGAAGTTTGGGTTTGAGTAGCTGCCACTGGTACTATATTCTCTTTAGCCCCTCCCCAAACCACATATACTTCTTGGGTTCCACTTAATTAAAAAGGTGAGAGGGCAGGTGAGTCAATCAAAACCCCCATTCAACATGTATCCCAACTGAACCACCATCAATTAATTAAAGTGCAAACTGCAGGGGGACATAGTGGCTGGGGCTGAGGCCAACTAAAGGCCAGAGAGAAAAAAAGACGCATATGTATAATAAATCAGAGGATGGGTATCAGAAACTGGCCCCTCCCCCAATTAGATCACAGCAGAGCCAAAGATGCAGGCAACCAGTGAAGATTCTTTGGAGGACTCTGGGGTCCAGAGTCTCCCCCACTATGGGGGAGAAGCTACCTAAGAGGCTGGGTGAGGGGAAACTAGGCTTCGGAAGAGTTCCAGAGCCACTGATGACAGTGCATCTCCACCTCCTCCACCTCTACCCAGTCAGCTAACAACTGGACTCCCACCTGGCACCCATGAGCACGCCTTCCCTGTCTCACCTCTACCTAGAAACACTCTGCACAAGGCCACCTCATGGACACTACAGTGTTTTCAAAAATGAGAAACTTCAACCAAATAAAATTAAAAAGCAAATGTTTCCTTACTCCTTCCTGCTCCCCCAGGGCCCTTACTGTGACTGAACTGGAAACCTCCTTCCTCAGTTTCTGGATTCACCACCTTCTCCATCCTGGGGAGAGGAGGAAAAGGGTGTCAAGAATAGGGACTGACCAAAAGCAGAAGGGGCAGGAGACAAAAAATGTTTTCTGAAAGAATGAGGAAAAGGAGAAAGGTAAGTAGGACACTGTCTTGTACCTATAATACAAAGTGAAGAAAGTTTGTTTCGGAAGTTAAGTCCTGGGGGATCCGACCCCCCAAGCCCCATAAGCCGGGGTAGGAGGCCAACGGCAACAGCTGCCTGGTGTTGGTTGCTGAAGCGTTAAAAAGTGCCATGACAGAGCTGTCAGGAGGCAGCCCTTGGGAGCCAGGGCTCTGTGCTGTTACCATAGGGACTGTGTGCTGAGGGGTGGGGATGGAGGTTATTTCTTAGCTCTCGTGCTAGCTCCATATTTGTTGACGCTAGCCACCCCCTCAGTTGCTACAACACTGGCTCTTGTTCTGCTGGGACTGCTCATGGAGATCCACACCCCGGCTTCGGCCTGCTGCACCCCCCAGATTCTGGGGTTCACTCTTTGGCAACTTCTTAGCTAGAGATAAAAAGAGAAGGGAAGAAAGTATGATAGATTTTACTCATGTCCCCCTCCCCCCCAAAAAACACTACTGGGTGGGGGAGACGTGGGAGAAAGAGGAAAGGTGAGACGTTAAAAGAATGTTCTGAAGAGGGAGGGTTCACGGTTTGTAAACTATCTTGAAGATGAGGGGGTTTAAGCTACAGCCAAAGGATGGAGGTCACGATGGAAAGTTAAGGTATTTCCATACCTAAAGTTTTCACAAGAGGAGACACTCCCATCTATCCTTATGACCGGGGTTAGTGATCTTGTCTAGAGGCAAGGGAAAAAGACAGGAAGATCTCAGACTGCTCTGACCTTACCTATTGCCAGGAAGAGATCGTTCACGTTCATAGCTGTCTTGGCTGAAGTCTCCATAAACAATAAGCTGTTGTCATCTGCATACGCCTGGGCCTCCTGCAAGGGGTGGGGTGGACTGGTGCTCAGAATGTAGGGCTGGAACAAGCATTGCCTTTGCACTCCCATGTAGTGCCAGGGCCAGGCAATATCCTCGGTTCCCTCCCCGTAACTGCCCACTAAGTCAGCAGGCCCTGGACCCTTATTTTGGTGAAGACTCCCAAGGAAAACCCATGGTCTAGACCACTTCATCCAACAACATATGGTAGGAGTCTTACTGGACAGAAACTTCTGGGTTCTGACACCTGAATAGTCCCTTCCCGCAAATTCAACGGCTCCCTCCTTCCTGTTTTCATACTGGTACCCTCACAGCGGGCACTCCCCAACCCCTCTGCTCTGGAATTTTCTTCTGACTCCTCGAAAATCTCCTGACTGTCATTAAGGTCACAGTGCGCTCTCTTTTAACATGGTACAGAACTGGGGAATGAGATGACGAAAGCCCTGAGGTGAGTTTTTCAGAAAGGGCAGGTTTGGAAAGAAGAGGTCCCCAGCACAGAGGGTATGTTCGGTGGGGGCGCGCTGGGCCTCTTACTTCATACTCCACTACGCGCTTGTTGGCCAGGTCTGCCTTGTTCCCCGCCAGGGCAATCACGATGCTGGGACTGGCCTGCCGCTGTAGCTCTTTTACCCATGTCTTCGCTCGGGCGAAAGTTTCCTAGAAAAACATGAGGACGAGAATGGGTGGGCTGCAATGACTGCCAGTCCAGATCCACCACCTTCAAGCCCCAGTCTCAAAACTCGCTTCTTCCAGATGGCCGCCTTCCACCAACCACCTGCTTCTGATCATCCAGTTCTGCTTGTCTTTTCAGCACTTGGGAACATCATTTATGCTTTTACTTTGCTATTTCAAGAGCCAGTTTTCTCTCCCCCACCTAATCTAATTCCTGTAAGGAAAAGCAAGGACACTTTCCAGTCCACTTACCTGATTAGTAATGTCATAAACCACAATGGCAGCCTGGGCACCTCTGTAGTACATGGGGGCCAAGCTATGATAGCGCTCCTGCCCCGCTGTGTCCCAGATCTCAAACTTGACTGTTGTGTCATCTAGACAGACAGACTGCGTGAGGAAGGCCGCTGAGGACGAGAGAATGGAGGGGAAGCAGTTGTAAGTGGGAGGATGAATGTAAACAACCCACCTCCCCCTCAAAACACCTCCACTCTGTCTAAGACACGTCACCCCCAGACCACCTGGCTACAGGAAAGGGTTAGTGTTCTCCCGGTATCACGCGAGACTCAGCAGGACCAGGGCTGAGACTGCTCTCAGCTAAGTCCTTCCTGTCAAAAGTATCTCTAGCTAGGGTCTGGGGGAGAGGGACACATCATAAACCAAGGAGGATAGCGTGAACTAGCATTCTTCCTCTAATCAAAGCAGGGGAGTACAATAACTAACAGACATAAAAAGCCTCAGATAAAAGTCACATCAACTGACTAGAAGATTTTAAAGCTGGACGGCAGCTCCCAGCAGTATCATTATTTGGATGTTACTTTTTCTATCATCGCCTGCTGATGCAAGAACACCACATTTCCAAGGATACTAGTAAATGGGGAAGGAGAACATGGAAATTCTCATAAAATACTCTTTTTTTTTTTTTTTTTAGAGGCATGTTTTATTTATTTATTTATTTGTTTGTTTGCTTTTGTTTATACATGCACTGGGTACAGTCAGAAGCGCGGGAGGGTGAGAGAATTCACCAGAGCCAGAGCGGGGAGCAGAACAGGCAGAAGGACCGAAGTACACTGCTGAGGGGAGCAGCGGGCGGCAGGAGAGGTCTGCGCGCCATGTGGGACCCTCCTCCGGGGGCCGGGGAGCAGCCGGGGATCGAACCGGCGCTGCAGAGGCCGCGGGCAGCTTCGCAACCCAGCGCTCAACCGCTGCGCCACCGGGGAGGCCCTCATAAAATATTCTTTATTGAATTAGCACTCAATTATAGGGGTGTGGCAGGGGGAAGGTAGCAAAGGTAGGTAAGGCAAATGCCCTTTGTATTTAGGATTTAATGTCAGCCTCTATTTTCAGCCTCTAGCAGATGTGTGCACCAGTTATCTAGGGAGCTTTGCCAAACGTATATATCTATGCTGCCTTACCTGACCTCCAACATCAGCCAGCAGATCTAGGGTAGGCCCCAAGAATGAAAACGCTATCCAGGTCAGCCTGATGCACATCTGTGAGTAAGAATCACTATTCCCAACCAATCCTGCCTCACGTGATACTCAACTGAACTTCCCTGGGATTGAGAGTGGAGAAGGAAGACAGACTGAGGTTTCAAACAAACAAACAAAAAGTGGTTTTTTGATACTTCAAGGTGAACTTTTCTTTCTTCTACGAAGCAAGAGGAGGAACATAGACCTGCTCTGGGACATCAAGGCAATCTTTTTCTGTTTTATGAAGGCTTTCCATTCCAGAGAACTAAGAGGGCCAGCTCCATGAACAAGTCCCTAGATCTCCCTTCAACAGCTTTCCTAAGCACGGGCCTCTTCTCTGAGGTACTCACCTCCAATTGTGCTCTCCTGGTACTCATGGAACTGCCCCTTCACAAAACGTAATACCAGGCTAGACTTCCCCACTGCAGATTCACCCAGCAGGACCAATTTGAACTGGCATATTTTGCTGGCCTGGGGCTGCCCATTGGGCCTGGCTGTGCTTCTGCTGGTCATGGCTAGATGATCAGAGTGGGAAAGGGTAGAGGGAGGGGGGATGCCACAAAGCGGCACAGGGGGGAGGGGGAGGGGAGGGGGTGTCTAGGCTTCAACAGTCCTGTAAGAAAAAAAGTGGTAACAGTAAACACAGGGCCAATGCAGCTGTAACCATATACACATATACTTTTTTTTTTTTTTTTTTAGAAAAAGGATAGGATCTCTCCAATTCCAAACCCCATGAGGATTTAGCTCTTATAATCATCCACTATTTAAAGGTTATACCTCTGAGAGAGCCCCATGTAGCTGATGCTCAGTGGTCATCAATAAAATAAAAACTGTGGGGGCCTCTCTGGTGGCGCAAGGGGTTAAGTCTCAGCATTATGAAGCGATTGCCAGAGTTTGATCTCCTACCAGGGAGCTGACCCACATGGCGCAGCAGACCTCTCCTGTCTCGCCCACTGCTCCCCTCAGCAGTATATTTCAGTCAATCTGCCTGTTCTGTCCCTCACTGTTTCTGGTGAGTCCTCTCACCCCCATCTCTGGCCTGTACCCCAGTTCTTGTATAAATAAATAAACAAATCTTAAAAAAACAAAAAACAGATGACATAGTAGGGAGAAAAAGAAACTTCAGCTAAGCTGATCAAGTTTCTTTAAGTGACATACATAAAGTATACTCTTGAGAAACAACAGGAAAAGTTACTAGATTCTTTGACTTAATCTCTCACATTTTTATATACTCCACAGCACACGATCCAAGGGGTAAGAATATTAGGCCTCCATGTTTCTACACTATAATATGAAAACATGGGAGTTAGGGGCCTCCCTGGTGGCGCAAAGGATTAAGTCTCAGCACTATGAAGCTATCAGCAGACCTCTCTTGTCTCCCTGCTGCTCCCCTCAGCAGTGTATTTCGTCAGTCTGCCTGTTCTGCTCCCCACTCTGTCTCTGGTGAATCCTCTCACCCCCCACACCTCTGCCTATACCCCAGTTCTTGTATGCATAAATAAATAAATCTTTTTAAAAAGGTGGGAGCATTAGAATGGACTGAACTCTCATGAACAGACACATTACTCTAAGCCTGGGAAAACAGTAGGGAGCTGGAGAAGGGTAATGAGGGAAACAGTACAGACTCTCCAGTTGCAAAACTCTTATATTAACCCCCACAGGCAGCAAAGTAAGCCAGAGTCCAGCAAACCTCTTGCCACTAAGTAGTCTTAGGTTGTCAGAGATTAGTAACTACTGTGTTAGAAAAGACTGCTTCCCAGCCCAAGGTGTCACCTCAAGAATATGTTCTCCCTACCCCAGTCACAGTAATCGATGGCCTGTTTCCATGCCTTGATCTTTATTTTTTAATTATTTTTTTATTTATACAAGAACTGGGGTACAGGCCAGAGGTGTGGGAGGTGGGAGAATTCATCAGAGACAGGGGGGAACAGAACAGGCAGATCGACTAAAATACACTGCTGAGGGGAGCAGTGGGCCAGACAGGAGAGGTCTGCTGCGCCATGTGGGTAGCTTCCTGGCCAGCCGGGAATCGAACTCTTGCTGCAGTGGCTGTGGATAACTTCATAGGTTGCATCTTAACCCCTTGTGCCACCAGGGAGGCCCTCCATGCCTTGATCTTTAATCCCAACATGTTTTTAAGGGAATTATGTTTTATATGTAATAGCTAGATTCTCAAAAGATCAGAGGTACAGTAGTGAAACAATACATGAGATTCACTGATTTCTCCTCCATTCTGGTAGTGATTTTTTGCTACGCGTTGACAGCAGGCAAATGATCCATTCAAAGGCAAGAAAGAAAACCACAGCTCTCCAGTCAAGTGGTGTGATTATTACCTTCAAAACTAAAGCAAATAAGGGGAGGAGGTTATTCTTCCCTTCAACCCTTTCAACTCAGAAGAGAAATCGGATTTAATGTCTCCTATAATCGGTTTCACAAGAATGGCTATTCGAATGACCAACTAACTAGGGAGGACTGAGGCTTCACCTTGGCATTAGCCAACTGGGGAAGGGGGAGGTAGAAGATGAAGTGGCAAGTTCATTAACATGGAAAGTGTGACTAGGAAAGTTTTCTCAGCCTGCCAGTCCCACCTAGAACAAGACTCCATTTCTTAGGCTCTCTCTACTTGGTAGCTTTGTGTACCAATGCCAACTATGTATGAAGCCTCTGGAAGTCCACCACCTATCAATGGAGACAGGGTTCCAGGTATAGCACTGGAGTCTAATCTACTCCCAAGAGCCAGTTCTGTGAGGCAGTCTAGAGAAACTAGTCCAGTCTGTATTTTTATTTTTCTTAAAAAAAAAAAAAATTATTTATTTATGCACATAAGAGCTGAGGTGTAGGCCACAGGTGTGGAGGTGGGGGTGTGAGAGGATTCATCAGAGACAGAATGGGGAGCAGAACAGGCAGATCTACTGAAATATACTGCTGAGGGAGCAGTAGGCGAGACAGGAGAGGTCTGCTGCACCATGTGGGACAGCTCCCTGGCTGTGGATCAAACTCGTGCCGCATTTGCTGCCGATAGCTTCACAGTGCTGAGTGACTAGCCCTTGTGCCACCAGGGAGGGCCCAAACTGTATTTTTCAGGTGAGGAAAAAAACTGAGAAACAAAATTAATCAACTTATCAAGTGTTACCATGCAGCTAGTTATCACACAGCTGCTTAGTAGCAAATCCCCCCCCCTTTCAAAAAAAGATTTATTTATTTATGCATACAAGAACTGGGGTACAGCCAGAGGTGCGTGGGTGGGGGATGAGAGGCTTCACCAGAGACAGAGTGGGGAACAGAACAGGCAATCTGACTGAAGTACACGTAGCTGAGAGGAGCAGTGGGCAAGTCAGGAGAGGTCTGCTGCACCATGTGGGTTGCTCCCTGGCTGGCCGGGGATCGAACTTGTGCTACAAAGGCTGCGGACAACTTCACAGGTTGTGTCTTAACCCCTTGTGCCACCAGGGAGGCTGCGGACAGCTTCACAGGTTGCGTCTTAACCCCTTGCGCCACCAGGGAGGCCCCACAAATCCCCTTCTTGCAGATACCCTTACTACCATTATACCACCACACCTGTTAAGGGAGCAAGAGATGCTGAACTCTAAACTGAAGGCTGAAGAGTATACCAGGACAGGAACAAGAGCTTAGATTGGATAGAATTTCTGCCTTTATTCAGTTTAGATAAGTACTTCCTTTGGGACTAAAAACAAGTTAGGAAAACGCATGAACACCATACGTGGGAATGGGATCCAGTCCCACATCCTTCTCACAGAGGACTCACTCATTACTGTGCCTCTCTAAAACCCTCGTCAGAATGGCTGAAATAGAAGCAATTCAAAGATGATAAAGAAAGTGGAAACTTTTGTAGTATTCAGAGGGCCCTGGGATTAATGTGAGAGATTCACTGAGTAGGGAAGACAGAACAAAAGCCAGTAAATACGTTTAACTCTCCAACTTTGTTTAGACCCCAAATTACACAAAAACAAAAAACAAACAAACAAACAAAAAACCCAACTGAGCGCTCCAAGATTTGGCTTAGTCCTTTCATTGTGTTGATCTGATGTTAACCAGTGAGTCACAGCCTCAAATGAGAGCCCTTGTACTTCCCCACCCTTCCAACAAGAGGCAAAAGAGCATACTTATCTCTTATTAACATGGTAGTACAAACTCCCTATTATTGACCTAGGAAATATTTGAATGCCCTTCTCTACTCTGTCTGCCCAGCAAATTTATAATGTATCTTTCAAGGCCAAGCTCAAATGTCACCTTCTCTGTGAAACTGCATAATTGCTCTCTCACCCCAGCAGCATTTACCACTGGCTCCCCTGTGAGGTCCCACTATATTAAGACTATTTCTATCAGAGCATGAATTACATTGTATGAGTTAATTGTTTGTGTCTGTCTGCTCTGTTAAACTCTGAACTTCTCAAGAAATATGACTATTTTTATCACTTTGACTCTCCGGAGCAAAGCACAATGTCTGGTGCCTAGTAGGTGTTGATTAAAAGCTCCCTAAATTAATTAAGGCCAAAACAATCTTACTTCCCTCTTCCATCAACTCCTCCCCCTCTGTGCCATCTGGAGAGATGCTCAGTTCTGTTTGAGAATGTTTTTTAATAGGCTCCAGAGAACCAATTCTCTCCTGGCCTCTTTGTGATCTCTTTTGGATGGAGGGCCCCTTTGGGACCCAGCCCACAAGGTTCTGTTGCAACTCACATGGGCTAACTGCTTTTCCTGTCACCGTTACTATGCCTCACATGGCCCAATCTCACCCTCTATGCAGCCCTCGCACCCAAAATTTTGAAGCAATGACAGCTAAACACTAAGTTCCCTGAATTTCCAGTTGATATTAAGTGTTCAGAAAACTTTGGGTCATTATCTCTCTATTCATTCCCGAACTTGAGAAATAGAAGGAAAAACCACCACAGACCCAAAGGACACGCTGAAAAGGTATCTACATTTCGCCTGAACAGAAGCTACAACCCAGCCCAGGAATCTGCACAAACTGCTCACCTGGGTGGCTCTTACTCAGCTCAGTTAAGTAAGGTTCAGTTAATGACTAAATCTTTCCTAAAACACTGCAGAAGTGGGAATGTATTTTGCAGGATTTTAAGGTACCTTTGCTCTTACTGGTCTGTTGCAATTCCTTATTTTAAGTTCATTGTCTCACAATTTGGTAACTTTCCCATCTGAAACACTTTAGAACTGGGAGCAGGCCACATACACTTGCTTCTCCTACCCCATGCTTCCTCAGAAGTCAAACTCATCTAAATGCCCACAAACAAGCAAAATATGGAAGAGCAATCCTTGCTGCCAAACTAAAAGTTAGCAGATTAGTGGTATGACCTCTAGGGCAATGGGGAATTCCTCTTCTCCAAATATATTTTTATAACTCTGGGTCTATGTTTGAAATTCTACATTGATAATTCCAATCCTTTGCTACCTCTTAAGAACCAAAAACCCTGGAAAGAATTAACACTTTAAGTGACTGTGTAATTTACATCTTAATAGGAAGCAATTCCAATAATTTCTTGAAGGCAGTCTTTGATTCAGGGGAGGAAGGCAAAGACAAAAAAAAAATGAAGAATGGGACAGGACGCCACTAGGGTAATAAAGGCTTGGGGGTCCCTATAAAGGCTTCTGAGGACAATGCATAAAGGTTAGGCACTTCTAAAGTCAGTAAGGACTGGTCCTCCATGGTGGTACAGGGGTTAAAGACAGCACTGTTAAGCTCCATGAGTTCAATCCCAGCCAGCCAGGGAGCTACCCACATGGCACAGCAGACCTCTCCTGTCTCGCCTGCTGCTCCCCTCAGCAGTGGATTTCGGTGGATCCACCTGTTCTGCTCCTCATGCTCTCTGGTGAATCCTCTCACCCCTTGTCCCTGGCACCTCTGGCCTACACCCCAGTTCTTGTATGCATAAATAAATAAATCTTTAAAAAAAAATTAAGTTAGGGCCTCCCCGGTTGTGCAGCGGGTTGAGCGCTGCCCTATGAAGCTGTCCACAGCCTCTGCAGCGTGGGTTCAATTCCCGGCCGGCCAGGTAGATTCCTACATGGTGTGGGAGACCTCTCCTGTCACGCCCGCTGCTCCCCTCAGCAGTGTCTTGGGTCTGTCTACCTGTTCTGCTCCCCGCTCTCTCTGGTGAATTCTCTCACCTTCCCATGCCTCTGACCCGTACCCCAGTTCTTGTATAAATAAATCTTTTAAAAAATAAATAAACAAAGTCAGTAAGGACAAATTCAATAAATAAGGTGGTAGTATGAAATGTCCCAGATGTACTAAGGTTTAGAGGAAAACCAACTGTAAATTCTGAGAAGACCTGGGAGTTCTCTTATCACTATAGAAAGAAAGAACAGGAGTTTCTTAGGAGAACCGTCATCTTCTGGGATGAAGAACCAGATATATAATGAAGAGCCAAATATACAATCTGTACATACAGAGACCACGAACCGGAAGACAGAGGTCTCAAATTTCTCACTTTAGGCCGAGATATCAGTAATTCTCCCAAACAAAATGATTCACCTTAATGTTTCGTTCCTACCCATAAGAAAGTTCTGGCTATCTACCTGGACATATCCTAGGATACTCAGTGCACAACTGAGGCACACACATAAATATATTTAAGGTGAGGGATAAGCCAGAGTACAGCTCACTGCTCCTGATTTTGATAGAAGCAGGGCAAAATGAATTGTGAAAGGAGCATATAAATAACAGAGTAACAGCCCAGCAGGGAAAACTGTGGAAAAATGAGACCAGTTTAGTGAGGACATGAAAACAGAATTGCCTTTAGTGGCACATCTCCTGAAACAAGATTAGTTTGCTCTGCTGCCTCTTATCCCTGACCTTTCTGGGTGAAATGCACATACTGAGTGAAGTTTGTGTAGATGGATTTACACTTTTTACACTTCAATACAACTCTGAATTTTAAAAATACATATACATTACTTTCATAACCAAGAAAAAAAATGTAGTTAAAATTCCTTGGCATGAAAGAGAAACAGGAGTCTGTACAATTAAGGAAAAATCCAGTAAGATCCCATCTATGGGACATGAGGGAGGTCAGCAGACCATTAAAAATAAATGGGAGGCCTGGACTGCTGCGCCTCGGCGACCCCTCGTTCCTGCTCTCCGCTCGCCAGCTTCCCAACTCACCACTGGACCCGACTTCCTAATGGGAAGGAGCCCCGGGCCTCGGGAGCAGACAAAGGCCAGGGGCGATGCCGGCCTTCAGCCCTGGGATCTCCCTCCCCAAGTCCCCTTCTCAGTGACACCCCCTATTTCCAGACTGCTCCCCGTGACCATCACCTGCCCGGGACGGCCCCAGGTCCCCCAAAGTTTCACCCAGCAGGGTCAGGAGACCTCCTGGGGCTACAGCCCCCTCCGGCGCTGGCCGGCGCAGAGCGCCCCCGACGCCCGGCTACCAGCTCGGAGCCGCAGCGGCCCCCGCGGCCGAGTCACGGGCGGCAGGAACGGACACGCGTCCTCCCCGCGCGGCGTCGCGGCTGCGGCACGGGACGGGGACCCGCGGGCGCAGCCGCAAGCGCGGCCCGAACCCGCGGAGGCCCGGGCAGGTGCGGGGCCCGCGCCCGCCCGGCCCCCGCGCCGGCCTCGGGCGCCCCGGGAGCGTCCGGCTCCCCGCCCGGCCCACGGCAGCACCCGGGCCCGCTCCGCGTCCAGCCGGGGCGCGTCCCCCGCGCGCCCCCGCTCCCCCGCACGGGACCCGCGGCCCCGGCTCCGGTCGGGGGCGCCCCGGCCCCGCAGAGCCCGCCGCCCGCAGCCCCTCGGCTCGCCCCCCCGGCCCCCGAGCCGGCGCGGGACCCCGGCGGGCCAGGGCGCCCCTCCCCGCGGCCGGCGCCGGCGCCCCCCGGCCGGGCCCGCGCCTCTCGCCGGCCCCTCCCTCTCCGGCGCCGCTCCCGGCGGGCCGCCCCGCCCTCCCGCAGCCCGGGCCGCCCTCGCCCGGCCCCAGGCCCGCCGCGCGGACGCCGCCGCCGCCCAGACTCACCAACTGCGGGCTCCCGCCCGCCCGGCCCCCGCCTCAGCGCCCCCAGCGGGCCTGCGGGGCCGGCCCCTGCGCCCCGCGCCGCGGGGCCGCGCTAGCCCCGGCCGAGACCCAGCCCCGCCGCGGCTCTCAGGGCGGGCCGCGCTCCTCTCCCGGGCGCCGCCGCCCTGCCCGGGGGGCGCCATCAGCGCGGTACCTGGGGATCCGTCTCCCCCGTCCGGCCCGGGCCCGTGTCGAACAGACAAACAGCTGCGGCTCAACCAAACCCGGCCCCTCCTCCGCCTCCTGCCCGGGCGCGCCCAGCCAATCGCACGCTCCCCCGCCCACCCCGGGGGCGGGCCTTGTGCGCACGGCCCGCCAATCCTCGGGGAGGGCGGGCCTCTCGCGCGCCGTCACCAATCAGCACGAGCCAGGGACAGGACAGGCGGGGCCTCGGACCAACATGAAGAGGGAAACGTTGAAGATGGACGAGGCGAGGAGCCACTGAAGAGCGAGCGCCCCGAGTCAGGGGGCGGTGCACTGCGGACAGGCGTGCGCGCTAGCCAGTAAAATTTCGAGACACTCTTGACTCCGCCTTCTGACTCATAAACATCTAATCAGGTGAGCGAGAGGGGCGGGTCCAAGTGAAACTTCAGCCAGTGCTGCGAGGACTCGGGGCTTGACTGGCAGGCGGGGCGGGGCTGCGAGAGGCCCTAGGCGAGCCGCCGCTGACCTTCGCCCCTCCCCCCGGATTTGGCGGGGGCTGTTCCCAGCGCCCCGCCCTCTGCGATAAACTCGCAGGCGTCGAGGGAAACCGCTCTGCTGGGGGCTCGGAGCCTGGGAATTTCGGTTCACCCCACGTGGGGGTACGTCCTCCTTTGGGGGCCTCCAGGCGATCTGGGGTGTTTTTTTCCTGGGGTGACACAACGGCAACCCCAAGTGGCAATTTAAGGAGCTTCAGCCCCTTCATAATGATTTTTCATACATTCCGTTGAAACAGTCTCCATCGTGCAAATACTAATAAAGTCTCTGTGGAAAGCTTGGCTGTTGATCTGCAACAAAAAGGGGCAACGGTGAGCTTGCTAAGAAGCCCAGTGTCTCGAGCCCACTTTTAAAATATTGCTGCTTCCTAAACTTCCTGAGCCTGAGGTTCTGAACTGCCGCCTCCGTGGATGTGTGTGGTGTGCATGTGCGTGTTGAGGGCAGGGGAGAGATGCAGGCTGGCGCTAAAGTGAAGAAGGAGGCCTCCCTGGTGGTGCAAGGGGTTGTCTCAGTACCATGAAGCTATCTGCAGCCACTGCAGCACGAGTTCGATCCCCAGCCAGGGAGCAACCCCACATGGCGCAGCAGACCTCTCCTGTCTCACCCGCTGCTCCCCTCAGCAGTGTATTTCTTTTTTTTTAAAAAAAATATTTTATTTTATATAATTCTTACATCATTTTTCACTTTTGCACAATGTATGCATTTTCATTTTGGTTATATTCCCCATACAATTGCACTCCCCACCCCTTATTTTGACCCTAATCCATCCTCTCCCCATCAGCAGTGTATTTCGGTTGATCCGCCTGTTCTGCTCCCCACTCTGTCTCTGGTCAGTCCTCTCACACCCGGCACCTCTGGCTTGTACCCCAGTTATTGTGTGCATAAATAAATAAATCTTTAAAATAAATAAATAAAATGTAGGAGGAAACACGGCCTTAGCCCAGCTATAAAATGAGGGCAGTAGTACCTACTTAGCCCACCTTGAGCACTATTCCAAACTGCATCACAGAGGCTATGATGTGATGAGACAGCTGACCCATCCAGAGAGATAAGGGAGCGGGGAGGGGCGATCTGGAACCCAGGATGACCCATACACATTCATATTCTCTCTCACACCATTGCAGTAGATAAATACACAAATGTAAAAGAGGAAAGAGATGAACTATAAAATTAGGAACTTTTTTTAATGAATTACAAACTAAATTACAAATAATGTTAGTAGCAAGGATAAAAAGTGGGAGAAGAAACAAAATCATAAAAACAGAAGACTCTTGTTTTTCCTTTTTTTTTTTTTTAAACATTTGAATAACAAAACCCAGAGGTGCACCTGGCCACAAATGCACCCACTCCCACTTGAAATTTAACAACTATAACCTGAAATATAAATATAATTGTTTATCCTTCTTTTAAAGAAATATTTTCCCCAATAACCCCCACACAGTCACAGCCCTAAAAAAGTGTCAGCACTCTCAAAATGACGTCTACACCCTAACTTCCAATCCTAGGGTATGGCCTTCAGAGGACCATGGGAACAGGAATCCCTGCTCTGTCCAGAAGAACTAAGACTTTTAAAAGAAAAAAAAAAAAAAATTCAAACATTTCACTTTCACTGTCTCCTAAGGCCCCAGCGAAGCACAGCTCTGTCCCAGAGCTTCCCAGACACCTCTTGCCTACAGGAAGGACAAGTAGATTCTCTAGTCAAATCATTTCTACTGCAGCCTCATCCGGACTCTTATGTCTCCCAGACGGTTAGATGAGATGAAACACTAAAAGTAGAGAATAAACTGGGTGGAGCTGGTTTTTAACCTAGTTCCTCAATTTAGACCCTCGCTATGTTTGTCTTTGCTTGGTTTCGAAAGTTCCAGCTTAGCCCCCCTGCTATCAATTGGCCTTACAAACACAGTGGCTGCAGAAGACTTGGGTCTCTGTTATCCCAAACACAGGAAATAATAACTTTGGTGTTTGGAGATAGATAGCAAATCCTATGTGGGGGGGAGGGGAGTCAGTCTTTGTTTTTAGTTTGTTTGTTTTTAATACCAGCTCTCTTCAGCAATGAGTAAGAGGAGGTAGAAAGGGTTGGTAGAGGCTGACTTAAGTGCATCTAATATTGAAGTTTCCTTTCATTTTCACCTATTTCTCCCCTCCATCTCCTGTATCCTGCAGCTGTCTGGCTAGGAGGGAAGGGTGAGAGTTAAGGCAGCCGGGCAAGATCAGTGGGCAAACAGCCCAAATTCAAGCCAGATCAGGCCCCCACTGGAGGAGAGGGTGAGACTTGGGGTGGGGGGTGTGGGAAGGACATCAGACATCAGAGTCGAAGATGGGGGACTGGCTTGGTCACATCCTGGAAGAAAGGGTGAGCCAGAGCTGCCTTGGCCGAAATCCGCTTGTTGGGGTCGTAGTGCAGCATTTGCTGGAGGGAGAGAGGTATGCCGGCTTCAGTGCCGTGATGGTGGACTGAGCGGGTAGCAGGTGTTCCAAGAAATCGGGAAAGCAGTATATTTTTACCCCAGGCAGAGTTCTCATTTCCCTCCTCCCTATATCTGAACCATGTGCCAACAGGGAAAGAGAAGCAGGGGCGCGGGAATCACGGATATCCAGAGTTCAGGGTCTCATCCTTCACCATGGAAAAACCCTGCCCTGGGGGGGGGTGTGTGTGTGGTGTGAATAAGAGGAAATGGGGCCCACCCCCCACTCTCACCGATAACAAGCTTCGTCCATCTTCATCCAGGGGAGGCACGACTTTGCTAAAATCTTGGCGCGCCCACTTGGGGAAACTCGGCTTATAATCAGGCATAGAAGTAACTCCTGGCCAAACCACCTCGTCTGGGGTTCCCAGAGTGCGAAAAATCCGGAAGAGCTGGTCAATCTCAGAATCTCCAGGGAACAGGGCCCGGCGGGTCACCTGAAAAGGGGGACAGAGGAAAGGCCCAGACCCACAAAGACATCAGTCAAAACTGGCCCCTGTAACACGGAGGTTCCCACAGGCAGTGGAAGGTCAGCAGGGCCCCATGACAACCACCCCAGGGCCTCTCACGGGGTCAGTCACACAGAGCCTGAGACAATGAAGTCCCTTCATCGGTCTTCTGGCCCCCGCCTTCTTTCCCCCCAACCATGGCTTTGCAGATCCCCAAGGCTGGGTGGGGGTGGGAGGGGTGAATGTCTGGGGTGCCACTGACGTGTAGCAAAGGGATCCCAAACCACTCACGGGGTATGGGGTAGACACTGCGGTCATCCCCCCTCCTTGTGATGCAGCCACTTCTAGATAGGAGCACAGCGGGCAGAGACTGTGTCTTCCATTTCTTCTGTGTTCCCCACAGCACCCAGCTTGGTGCTGGGTACACACTAGGTGCTTAACAAATATTTTTTGATGAATTGAGAGAGGAATATGGGCAATTGTAAGGTAATGCACTGGGGGATAAAGGCACTATATATATATATATATATATATATATATATATATATATGCTAATGGTCTCCAAGCTCCCAGTCACACCCCAAATAAAGGACCATAAAAAATATTGCTGGTTTGATTTGAAAACTCAGCCCAGTCTGTTGTGGTATTTAAGGGGATGAGAGTGCCCAGAGAAGGTTGGGTTCTCGGGGATCCTTCAATCTGAAAAGCCAGAGGTTGAGGGGGGACATATTTAAGTGTGCAGTTTGAATAGAAGGCAAGGGTAAGGTGAACACAGTTGATTTTCCCACATTCCTGGCTTCCTACAATAAGGTCTCCAGGCCAGATAACGGAGGTACTCATTCTCCCAGATATATACAGACTCCAGGTAAAACAGCTGCAGAAATGATTTACCTCATCTGGGGAGAGAGATGTATGCTGGATGCTAAAGCTGCATGAGGCTAGCCTACCATATGGTTGACACAGGGACAACAGACTCTCGTTTTCCCCACCGCCACTTTGGTGTTACTCTAAAGAAAAACCCTGTGACCACAGAAGACCGTGAGTCTGGATCAGGAGATAGTTTGTGAATGTGAGAGCGCGGCTGGTGGAACTCAGGCATGCCTCCATACCATCTCAGCAAAGATGCAGCCCAGGCTCCAGATGTCCACAGCTGTGGAGTAATATTTGCAGCCGAGGAGAATTTCAGGTGCTCGGTACCACAGGGTCACCACCTGGGGGCAAGAGGAGGGCAGGTATAGGTGGTGTATGGGCCGAGAAGATTCTTACACCTCAGCAACTCATCACTGCTCTCCTGTCAGCCTCTCAACAAGCAGTTTCCTTGCTCCCGCCTTCCTCTACCTCTAATGTCCTCCAAGTGGAATTGACTTTTTCTTTTAAGATTTTTATTTTCTATTTATTTACGTATCACAAAAGAACTGAGGTATAGGCCGGGGTGGGAGGGGCGGGTAGAAGATTCACCAGAGACAGAGCGGGGAGCAGAACAGGCAGATCTACTGAAATCCACTGCTGAGGGGAGCAGCGGGCGAGTCAGGAGAGGTCTGCTGCGCCATGTGGGTCACCTCCCTGGCCGGGGATTGAACTTGTGCTGCAGTAGCCGCGGATAGTGCTGAGACTTAACCCCTTGTGCCACCAGGGAGGCTCTGTTTTTTGTCTTTCATACTCTAAATTTAATCTTTGATGTCCGAGATACTTTCCATCTTCTGAGAGAAAAACTGCTGGCCAGATATTTTTAGTAACTTTGTGAATGTCCTTGTTAACACCCTCAGGAAATTTAGGGAAGAAATGCAGAGAAGAACATAATTTACAGTAGCAAAGATAAAGAAGCAACCTACGTGCCCAACGGGAGTTGATTGGATAGAGAAGACTTGGTATGCTATACCCAATGGAATACTATTCAGCTCCAAAGAAAAAAGAAATTCTGCCATTTTAGCAAAATGGAAGAACCTTTAGGGGGTTATGTGAAGTGAAGTAAGTCAGAAAGATAAAGACAAATGTTGGATGATTTCACATATCTGGGAGCTATAAAGAAGCGAAGCAGATGAGCTGACAAAACAAAATAAAAATAAATTAGTGGACACTGATGACTGCACTGAAGTTACAAGAGGTGAGAGTGGGGGCAAGGGAGAAAGGGAGGAGGATGTATAAGGGATGGTGACGGCTATTTTGTTTTTGCTTTTAATTTTTTCCTTAAAAATAAAAGAAACGCAGAAGGGACTCCCCTGGTGGCGCAGCGGTTGAGCGCTGGGTTGCGAGGCTGCCCGCAGTCTCCTCAGCGCCGGTTCCATCCCCGGCCACCGGCGAGGGTTCCACAAAAAAAAAGAAAAAGAAATGCAGAGGGACTTACCTCATGGGTGTAAGTACGAACCGGGACTCCAAATGCTCGGGCTAGTCCAAAGTCTGCCAGCTTGATGGCCCCCTCTGCGTTGATGAGCAGATTCTGAGGTTTGAGGTCTCGGTGCAGGACCCGATGAGAATGGCAGAAAGCTAGACCTTGGAGCAGCTGGAACAGATAGCTCTGATGAGAGAGAGAGAAGACGTCACAGTGAGCACATCAGGGCTGCTCTGTGCCTCCAAAGCTACACTAAAGCCTTCACGATATTAGGTTATAATTCCATGTGTACCAGCTACATCTCCCATCGGACTGTCAGCCCAGTGAGTATAAGGCTCAGGTCTTTTTCAATATCCTGTGCCTAGCACACTGAAGGTGTTCAATAAATGTGCACTGAATAAACTTATGCTAACAGTTTGAAAGTAGCCCTGGGAATAAAGAATCCAGCATTGAAACAGACAAGAAACTCACTGCCTATCTCTCCCACCAAAGAGTAGAAAGGGCTTTTTGAAGGCATCTACCAAGTGCCCTCAAGTCCCATTATCTAAGTTTCATCTGACCTTCCACCTGAGCTAAGTTGACTCACTAGAGTTTCAACCTCTTTGATTCTCCTGCCCAGCCCTAGGGTTAATAAGTATAATGAGTAGTGAAAAAGCCACAAAAGAAAGGTGTGTGTATGTGTGTATGTGTGTGTGCGTGCGCAGGGGGGTGGGGGCTGGGAAAAAGCCAAGATCACACAAATCATCACCACTCAGTCTGAAGTGCCTGCTTCAGTCTCGCCTAGACATACGCATGACGGGGAGAAGTTGAGCACAGGATTACCTTGATGAGCGGAAGGGGAATGCCCGTGATAGCAGAGGCATCCATGAATTTCTTGAGATCCTGGTGCAGAAACTCAAAAACCAGGTAGAGTTTGTTTTCTGTGTGGATGACATCCAGCAGCCTAGAGAAGGGAGGCCCGGAACGGGGGTGAGCAAGAGAAATACCCAGACGACAGAGACAGAACTCATCATTCTGGGTTATCAGCTCCCCTCCCAGACTCATACTCACTTGACAATGTTAGGGTGGTTGAGCTCCTTGAGCAGAGAGATCTCTCTGATGGCAGTGCTGGGTACACCCTCCGTCTCACTTGGAGAGGTTGGGAAAGCAGATGGGAATGTGGTTACAAATATTCCTTTTCTTGCAGCCCAGGCATTCTCGTTCCCCACCCCCTCCCTCCCCCAGGAGTCACCACCCCCAGCACCTCTTAGCAAAGTCCAAGGAGAAGGAGAGGCTGCTGTGGGAATTCATTCAGGGGTGGACGGGGAGTAACTTTTGGACCCATTAGGGCCATTTCCTTCCCCAGGGGCGGGAGAGGAAAGCCCCCGGGGGAAGGTGAGGCCGAGAGACGGTCCCAGGCAAGAAACAACACCCGGGGAGGAGCTGCACCAGCCTCCCCGCAGGGGCCAGCGAGCTCAACTGCCACTCTTTTGAAAGAGGGAGAGAATTCTACGACGAGGGTGGGGTTGGGGCACTGGGGCGGGCCCTTCATTCAGAAAGACGCTGTTCACCGGCCCCCACAGCACCCCCGGCCGCGGGGGGCCCCGGACCTCGCCCAGAGGCCTCCAGGCTCCCCGGGCTCCCCGCCTGCACATTTGGGGGCCTCCCCGGCGTTACGGAGGACGTGTCCGGGGACTCACGCTCCCCGTCCTCCCGCGGGCCCCGCCGCCCTCCAGCCCCCCTCCCCCGGCCCCCCCGCCTTCCGGCCCGCGGCCCCCGCCCCGGGGTGGGGGCGGGGGCGCTCCCGGCCTCCCCGCCGGCGCCCCGGGGCCGGAGGTCACTCACGTGTCCAGGCGGATCTTCTTCAGCGCCACCACCTCCCCCGTCACCTTGTTCTTGGCCTTGTACACGACCCCGTAGGTGCCCTCGCCGATCTTCTCCACTTTTTGGAAGTTCTCCATGAAGCGCCGCGGCGCGGGGCGGCGCAGCCCGGGGCCGAGCCGGGCGCCTGCGGGACGCGGGCCGGCGCGCGGGGGCGGGGGCGGGAGCCGGGCCCTCGGCGCGGCGGGGGTCGCGATGGAACGCCGTGCCCCCCGCGCTTGTCAATTTGTCCAACTTGAAACAATGTTGCCGCCGCCCCCAGTTCCCGGCCGCCGCCGCAAGCCCCGCCCCCCCTTCCCGCGTTTCCCGGGCCCCGCCCCCCGCCCGGCCGATTGGCCGGCGTCGGCGAGGACGCGGCGAGGCCCCGCCCCCGAGGAGGCCCCGCCCCGCCTTGGCCCCGCCCCGCGCGGCTCGGGGCCGGGGCGCTCGGGGCGCTCGGGGCGCGCGGCTGCGGGGCGCGCGGGCGGGACGCGGCTCCGGCTGCCGGGCTGGGCTCGCGCTTCCCGCCGGTGTGCGGAGCCCGTCGGGGGCTCCCGATCTCTCACTGGCCGCCGCGGCATCACCCCCGGGGCACAGGTGCACCCAAGATTCCGTGACACCGGCTCGGGAGCCGCCTGTGGAAGGCAGGAACTGGGGTCCGTGCAAGGGCTCCCCAAGCCCCGAGGACCCCTGGCCTCGGACCTCCAGCCTACCCGGATAGCGTGGTTTTGGACGCAGAGTTTCTGGTTTTTGTTTTTTTAAAAAACATTCATTTATTTATGCATACAAGAGTTGGGGTACAGGCCAGAGATGGGGGGGTGAGAGGATCCACCAGAGACAGAGCGGGGGGCAGAACAGGCAGACTGACCGAAGTACACTGCTGAGGGGAGCAGCGGGCGAGACAGGAGAGGTCGCCTACGCCGTGTGGGTATCTCCCTGGCCGGCCAGGGATCGAACTTGTGCTGCAGAGGCTGCAGGTTGCTTCGTAGTGCGGTGCTTAACCCCTTAAGCCACCAGGGAGGGCCTCTGTTTCTTTTTGAGAGGTTGTTGCTTTGACTCAAAGAACAAATTAATTCACTCTCCCATGATGAATTGTGCCGGGTGCGTGTTTGCAGCTCCCCTTCACTCGGTCTGTTCCCCGGGGATGGGGTGTGTCAAGACGATAGCGACCCGGTGAAAGCAGAAGCTGTGATTGGGTAGCGGGATGTCCAGCTTGTCAGCTCTGCCTCTCTCAAGCCCTCCTGCTCCTCCCAGACCTGCCTGCAGGAGGAGGGGGAAAAGCTATGCAAATGAGCACCCCTTCCTTATATAGGGTCTTGTCCCAGGCCCCCCAGGGCCTTCGGTTGCTGAAGGGAAGAGCAGGATGGATCTGGTGCTGAGAAAATGCTTTCTGTATGTATCTGTGATGGGTGCTCTTCTGGCTCTGGGGGCCACAGAAGGTGAGTGTGGTGTGTGTGGACTTGAACAGTGAGAATTTGGGGTTGAACACCTGCTCCAGTTTTCCCCCTCCTAACCGGAGATAGCAGCAGTACTTCAGCTTTCTCTCACCCGTTTGTTTTATTGAGGATGTGGGTGCCTGGGCTCACTTGCCACATAGAGATTTGGCATTGAACCTAGAAATAATCCTATCCACCTGGCAATAATCCTATCTGCCTGGAAGGGCCGGTGAAGGATGATGGGTCTTTGTAGTTGTAATTCTGACCCCCGGCCCCGGGGCAGTGAACTGGAGTAGGGACTCTGAAGGAATGAAATGAATGGGGGACTCTTTTAAGACTGTGTCTCAGGCACTTGGGATAGTATTTAAAGTGGGAAGTAAGAGAAGGTGGAATTAAATAAGAAGGTCACGGAGGTACCACCTACCCTCTCTGGGAAAGGGATGGGTGAACACAGCCCTGGTCTTTTGTTCTGGAACTGGAAGCCACAGGCAGAGGGGTCTCAGCTGAGCATCACATGAAAGGGCTCTGGGGGATTGGGGCCTCGTGATAAGAGCAAGGGTTGGGGGTAGGGATGATGAGAGGGTCTGGAATGTCCCGTGCTTCTTTGAGGAGAGAGGGCTGGGAGTGGAGAAAGAATGGGCCATCTTATGATTCTCTGTCTTTAGTGGTGAGATGCTCAGTTAATGATCCAGACTCTACCCCAGCGGAATCAACTAGGTTTCCAGTGCACATTAGAAATGGAGTGAGGAGTTTCTGCTGTGCTGAAACATACACATCATATGCCAAGTCTCCTTTTCTCTCCCAAGATCCCTAGTCTCAGACTTCTAGGAAGTTTTTGAGCTAAATTTCCTCATTCATGCTGCAATTTCAATGTTTTGTTTTGTTTTTTGGTTCCTTAATGTATTCTGGAAATAATCTCTTCATTTTTGTCCACCTGAGGCTCTTTAAAGATTGTGCTTACTTTTTGGATCCTTCATTTAAAAATTGTAAGACAGGGCCTCCCTGGTGGCACAAGGAGTTGAGTCTCAACACTATGAAGCTATCTGTTGCCACTGCAGCATGAGTTCAATCCCCAGCCAGAGAGCTGACCCAGCAGATTTCGCTTGTCTCACCCGCTGCTCCCACACACAGCAGTCTGTTTCAGTCAATCCACCTGTTCTTGGCCCCCACTCTGTCTCTGGTGAATCCTCTCGCCCCCAAAACCTCTGGCCTACACCCCAGCTCTTGTATGCATAAATAAATAAATCCTTAAAATTAAATAAAATAAAAATCATGAGACATTCATGAAATTTCACATGGACCAGGTTTAATGATTTTTCTAGTGTGAAATGACATTGTACTTATTCAAGAAAGTTTTTTTTTTGTACAGAAACACACTGAATTTGTAGGTTTAAAACAATAAGATATCTGGGATTTGCTTTTAAATGCTTTAGCCAAAAACCAAGTAGACAAAACAAAGCAAATGTGGCAAAATGTTGATAATTGCCGGATCTGAGTGAGCACATATGCAAACTTCTTTCAGACCTCGTTCATGGTCAGTTATAATCACTGTCCTTCTGTTCCCACCCGCAAACTTTGTCTGCCTCTGATCCGTCTTCCCCACTGCTTGCCATAGCAATCTTTCTGAAACACAAATCTGATCCTATTCAAAAAGCTTCTGAAGGATGAATTTTGTGGTATGTGACTTATAACTCAGTAAAACAAAATCTTCTGAGGTGACCCTGCTTATAGGATAAAAGTCAGTGCCTATGTCTGGCACTCAAGCCTCCAATCCACCTGGGCCTCATTAACCAATCTGCCGGTGCCCTGTCATACCATGTGTTCCTGTCTCCCTGCATCTGCTCATGCAGGGCTTCTGCCCCGAGTGGCTTCTCCCCGAGGCCGAATCCTCACTGAGGTCTTTCCCAACCTGCTCAAGTAAAACTAGTGTTCAGTTTGTCATTTTGTTGTGCTTCATGCATAGCTGCTGCAGCTTATATTATTATTTTTTTTAAGATTTATTTATTTATTTATACAAGCACTGGGTACAGTCAGAAGCGTGGGAGGGTAAGAGAATTCACCAGAGCCAGAGCGGGGAGCAGAGCAGGCAGAAGGACCGAAGTACACTGCTGAGGGGAGCAGCGGGCAGCAGGAGAGGTCTGCGCACCATGTGGGACCCTCGCCAGGGGCCGGGGAGCAGCCAGGGATCAAACCGGCGCTGCAGAGGCTGCGGGCAGCTTCGCAACCCAGCGCTCAACCGCTGCGCCACTGGGGAGGCCCTGCTGCGGCTTATATTAAACAGGACCTGGCTTACATGTCTATTTCCTGTACTTGAATTCCTTCAGGTCCTCTGAAGGACATCCTTGTGCCTAGCATAGTGCTTGGTATAGAGTACTCCATAGATTTAAATGTACCTTGAATGTGAAAATGAGCAGGGCAGCATGGGGTAGTGTTATCCCCTGAGCAGGGACTCAACTAAGGATCCTAGAGGGGCCCCCCCTTATGGATTTTTCCTTTTAGGGTCCAGAGACCATGACTGGCTTGGTGTCTCGAGGCAGCTCAGAACGAACACCTGGAACAAGCAGCTGTATCCCGAGTGGACAGAAGCCCAGGGGCCTGACTGCTGGAGAGGTAGCAACTTTGCATTTTCTGGGGAGGACATGGCGGGAATGGGATGGGGAGAGGAGCAAAAACTGGGCTGGGGAAAGGCTATGGGGAGGGGACGCCCAGGAGTCCCGGTTAATGCAGCTGCCCGTCCCAGGTGGCCAGGTGTCCCTGAAGGTCAGTAACGACGGGCCTACGCTGGTCGGAGCAATGGCCTCCTTCTCTATCGTCCTGAACTTCCCTGAAAGCCAAAAGGTGCTGCCAGATGGGCAGGTCATTTGGGCCAACAACACCGTCGTCAACGGTGAGTCCTCCTGCACTCGAGGCCTTCGTTCCTAGGCTCAGGTTCCCTGGTAACTTCACGGGCTCAGGGGTGCCTCGTTCCCTCTCCGTGTTGTTTTTTTTTCCCTTAATTATATACATAATACATTTGCATTGTAGAAAAATTAGAAAACACAGCTAAAGCAGAAAGGAAAGAACATCTGGTTCCTCACACAGGGGAACAGCAGAATCCAATACAACTAGACCCAGGACGGACTTGGTTCTAAACCTGTTGCTAGTATGAGACCCCTGCCAAGGTACTTGATTGCTCTGGGCATTCATCTCCTCCTTTCTGAATGGGAATGATGCCTCCCTTGGAAGAGCTCTGAGGATTAAATGTGACAATATATAAAGAGTCGAGCACAATACCTGCGCTAGCCCATAGTGAAGACTCAGCATTTGCTGGTGCTGTTGTTGTTTTTATTCCACTCAACGAGAAAATCACTCTAAACATTTTGATATATAGTCTTCCAGTCTCTCTCCTGGACAAGTACATGTACGGGAGCCTCTAATTATAATTCCCAGTCCCCCCAAGACCACTCTAAATGGGTTACACTAGGGGGAATATACTTTCTAGACAAGGAAAGATGGGAAAGATGTTAGGGGTTTTGGTGAATAGAAAGGAATGTCAGGGCCTCCCCGGTGGCTCAGGGGTTAAGTCCCAGCACTATGAAGCTATCATTAGCCACTGCGGCTTGAGTCTGATCCCCAGCCAGGGAGCTGACCCACAGGGCGCAGCAGACCTCTCCTGTCTCCCCGCTGCTCCCCTCAGCAGAGTATTTCAGTAGATCTGCCTGTTCTGCTCCCTACTCTGCCTCTGGGGAATCCTCTCATCCCCCCACCTGTGGCCCCAGACCCCAATTCTTGTGTGTATAAAAAAAAAGCACTTTAATTAAAAAAAAAAAAAAAAGAAAGGAAAGAAAAGAAGGAATGCCAGGCTTTAACAGTGACTCTCTACATTTCAGGAAGTCAGGTATGGGGAGGACAGCCGGTGTACCCCCAGGAACCTGGTGGTACCTGCCTTTTCCCTGACGGGGGAGCCTGCCCATCTGGCCCTTGGTCTCAGAGAAGACGCTTTGTTTATGTCTGGAAGACTTGGGGTGAGGGATTCCCTTCTTTGGTCTGTCACCCTTACTTGGAGTCACTTCTTCCCACCTGAACCCCTTTCTTTCTGGCCCCACCCCTTAAAGTCAGCGTCGCTTCCTAATCTTCATTCCCTCCATAGCTCCTTTCATAGCACCTTGCCCTCTGCCCTATTACAGTTCTTTCAGGGAGCCCGTTCCCCATCACAGTTCCACCCCATGGGCCACCACACTGGGAGTCCTGTCCCGCCCACCACAGGGCAACCTTCCAGATAACCTCTGCTTAACCATCCTTAATCTACCTTCTGACCTTCCCTCTCTGGTGCCCTGCCTCTATCCCTGCTGCTCCATCCCCTCTGAGAACCCCACCTGCTTCTCTTTCCAAAAACCTCAGGCCAATACTGGCAAGTTCTGGGCGGCCCAGCGTCGGGGCTAAGCATTGGGACGGGCGCAGCACTGCTGGGCACACACACCATGGAGGTGACCGTCTACCACCACCGGGGGCCGCAGAGCTACGTGCCTCTAGCGCACGCCCTCTCAGCCTTCACCATCACTGGTAAGGACTGAGAAAGGGGCAAGGCCAGGCATAGGGGTGGCTTGCTGGACCCGAAAGGGGAAGCCCTGGAAGCAAAATGACGTGGTGTCTTCTTGAAAGGGCAGAACCAGGAAGACCTGGGCAGAGGAATGTGGGGCTTGGAGTCGGTGCAGAGCCAGTTGGTCAGCTTGGGGCTGGAGGGTGTGGCTGGGAAAGGAGAAGCCGTGGCTGAGGCCTGACTCTTGCCTTTTCTGGCTCTGGCCCCAGACCAGGTGCCCTTCTCTGTGAGCGTATCCCAGCTACGAGCCTTGAATGGAGGGGCCAAGCACTTCCTGAGAAACCAGCCTCTGACCTTTGCCCTCCAGCTCCATGATCCAAGTGACTATTTGGCTGGGGCTGACATCTCCTATACCTGGGACTTTGGAGACAGCACTGGAACCCTGATCTCCCGGGCACTTATAGTCACTCACACTTACCTGGAGCCTGGCCCCATCACTGCCCAAGTGGTGCTGCAGGCTGCCATTCCTCTCGCCTCCTGTGGTTCCTCTCCAGTCCCAGGCACCACAGATGGTCGTGTGTCAACTGCAGAGGCCCCTGGCACCACAGCCGGGCAAGTGCCTACTGCAGAAGTTGTAGGTACTACAACTGCAGAACCCTCTGGAACCACAGCTTCACAGGTACCAGCCACAGAGGTCACAGGCACTACCTTTGTTCAGGTGCCAACTACAGAGGGCATAGGTACTACACCTGAGCAGATGCCAACCTCAGAGGTCATAGGTACCACACTTGCAGAGATGCCAACTGCAGAGCCCACAGGTACAACAGCTGCAGTACCAACGGCAGAGCCCCCTGGAACCACAGTTGCACAGATAACAACTACAGAGTTGGTGGAGACCACAGCTGGTGAGATACCCACCCCTGAAACGGAGGGCCCAGACGTCAGCCCACTCATGCCTATAGAAGGTACTACAGGTAAGAGGGCCAGTGTGGATGAGTTTCACTGAGGTAGGTTTTGTTATTAAAGAGCTGAAAGATTTACTCAGGTCCCAGATTTATCTAATCCTTTGCTTAGCACTGGAGTCCCCTCAGCATCTTCACTGGTTTTAAAATCCTTGACTCCTTCTTAGTGATGTGAAATAGAGCTGGGGTTCAGGGGGCCTCCCTGGTGGTACAGGGGTTAAGTCTCAGCGCTATGAAGCAATCCACAGCCACTGCAGCCCAAGTCCGATCCCCGACCAGGGAGCTACCCACATGGCGCAGCAGACCTCTCCTGTCTCCCCGCTGTCTCTGGTGACTCCTCTCACCCCCTGCATCTCTGGCCTTGTATGCATAAATAAATAAATTAAATCTTAAAAAAAAAAAAGACCTGGAGTTCAGGAAACCAGGGTCTTCCCCTATGTCATGGGTAGAGAGCTGGTCGCTCTTCTACTTCTGAGGGGAGCTGTTCCCTGACACAAAGGCCAGGGAACAGTGTGATCACTTAAATAACACTTATATTCTCATTTTCAAGTGTAAATATATAGAAATATTTCCAGATTCTTGGATTCAGTTGACCTGGAATTATGTTAGGAATATGGAAAAAGGAGGAAGGAGCTAGTTGGGGGTTCTTAGATGAATTACATTTGTCAAGTGTCTATTCCAGGCACTGGCACGGTGTGGGGTGTGATAAACATTGGGGTTTTTAAAAACTCCAATGCTACTCCTAGGTGTAAGACTCTGGGGCAGTCATTTTTCCCTCCTGGGCCTCAGTTTCCTTTTTTTTTTTTTTTTAAGATTTATTTATTTATGCATTCAAGAGCTATGGTACAGGCCAGAGGTGCGGGGGCAAGAGGATTCACCAGAAGCAGAGTGGGGAACAGAACAGGCAGACTGACCGAAGTACACTGCTGAGGGAAGCAGTGGGTGAGATAGGAGAGGTCTGCTGCGCCATGTGGGTCACCTCCCTGGCCAGGGATCAAACTCATGCTGCAGTGGCTACAGACAGCTTCATAGGCTGTGTCTTAACCCCTTGAGCCGCCAGGGATAGGCCTCAGTTTCCTTATCCATAAAATTGTTTTCCCTGCCCTTGTCTGATTCCAAGCTTAGACCGAGTACCTCTGTCTCTACCTGGAAAATGCCTCCTCAGCCTGTTTCCTGGTGAGTCATTTCTCTTGAATTTCCCTCTTCCTGCCAGGCTCCCAGAGCCCCCTGCTGGATGACACTGTAATTCTGGTGAAGCGACAAGCCCCCCTGGACTGTGTCCTGTACCGATATGGCTCCTTTTCCCTCACCCTGGACATTGTCCGTGAGTCTTGCCTACTTTGGCACCTGGTGGAGGGAGGTGTGTTCTGTCTGGGGTGTGAGTCACTCCCTCTAGAGGGAATGACTCACCTGGACAAGAAGAATGCAAAATGCCAGGGTTTCCAGGTAAAGGCAGAGGGGTGGCACTGAGGAAGCAGACCTAGGGCTTTTGTGGGCCTTTGGGGAAGCTTAGTAGAGGTATCAACATGAAATCTCCCAACTTTGCAGAGGGTATCGAGAATGCTGAGATTCTGCAGGCTGTGCCTTCCAGTGAAGGGGATGCATTTGAGCTGACCGTATCCTGCCAAGGCGGGTGAGTGTCGCCCTGGTTGCCCCGAGGACTCTTGGGTTGACTGCTGCCCTACTTCTGGGGCCCGCTGTTCCTTCCCTAATCCCCTGACATATGCTGACACCTCTCCCAGGTTGCCCAAGGAAGCCTGTATGGATATTTCATCTCCAGGATGCCAGCCCCCTGCTCAGCGGCTGTGTCAGTCTGTGCCACCCAATCCAGCCTGCCAGCTGGTTTTGCACCAGGTACTGAAGGGCGGCTCAGGGATCTACTGCCTCAACGTGTCTTTGGCTGATGCCAACAGTCTGGCAATGGTCAGCACCCAGCTTGTCATGCCTGGTAGGTACTTGAACAAGAGCAAAGATGAAAAGGAATAGGTAGAGGCTCTCTGGCAGGGCGCAGACACTGACTGAAGTTGTGGGGTTCTGCTCACAGGTCAAGAAGCAGGCATTGCACAGGGTCCCCTGTTCATGGGCATCTTGCTGGTGTTGGTGGCTATGGTGCTTGCATCACTGATATATAGGTGAGTGCTCCCCCATCCAACACAGACCCCCGTACTCCTTTTGACCACTACCAGCTCTTCCTCAAAGGGAGAGCCCAGATTTGGAAGTTAAACAGGCTGGGACTGATGTCTTGTTAGTGGGACCTTGGAGAAGTAGCTTAAACTTACTGAGTCTCTGAAAAGCAGGAAAACAAATAGCTGCTCTGTGGGGCTGCTGATTAGAGACAGTGTGGATAAGGCACCTGGTTCTGAAACAAGAGTGCAATGAAACATGATATTGATGACTGCTGCTATTAGTAATAGAGAGCAGAGGTTGGGTGAACTGAGTTCTCTACCTGTCCGAGGGCAGACCCCCAGGCCTGGATGCCAACAGTCCTCAGAGACTCACCCAGTCCTCAGACAGGGTGAGAGGGGAAGAGACAGAGTTACCACAGAAATAAGAGGATGAACCCTGGACATGAGGAGAAGGGGAGAGAACTAGGGTGAAGGCCGAGTAAACTGGGATACTGGTGTGTCTTCTTCGGAGGGGCACACACAAGCTGTCCTTGTCCATTGCTAACCAGTTCCCCCTTCTCTTCCTAACATCAGGCGCAGACTCACGAAGCAGCGCTCAGCTGGTCCCTGTCCCCAGCTGCCCCACAGCAGCACCCACTGGCTGCGTCTGCCCCAGATCTTCCATTCCCGCCCCCCTGGTGAGAGCAGCCCCCTCCTCAGTGGGCAGCAGGTCTGAGAACTCTCAGGGGATGCCATTAACTTAGCTGGGGTTCCCCACCATGCCTGTCCATCCTCAGTCTTCCCTTGGAAGCTACCATTACCTGAAATAAATACTCGAAACCCGGTGCAGTTTTTTCTTGCTTCTGAGAGAATCTGCCATTTAAGGAATAGACGTAGAAAGAAAGGAGGTGAACTACTTACTTAACAGATATCCCAGTGGAGGAAAAAGTTATTTTATTTAGATGAGGCACTTTCAATGTATGTGTTGGTGGTGTGTGTGTGTGTGTGTGTGTGTGTGTGTGTGTGCAGCAAGCGCACATGTACATGGGGAATAGTGGAGGCGGTAATAAATACTGCGAGGGTGAAGGAATACTCCCCTGAGCTGGCAGGAGGGTGTGGCAGCAATGTACAGAGCCTAGGGAGTAGAGTCCACGGATGAAGAGGTGGGTTCGAGGCTGGCTCGGAGGCTGAGGGTGTTCCCTCAGCATAAGAAGCCAAAGAAATTGGAGGAGCGAGGCTGGGATGGGCCCATGAGCATGGGCATCTGGTTCCTGTGGGTGATCTTGATCTGGAAGGGAAGGGGCATGTTCAGAAGCAGGACCTGGTGCCTGAGGGCTACAGTAGCAGAGATTTTAGGGAAAATCTGTGGGGCTCCTAGTGGGTTGCCAGGGTCCTGGAAAGGCTAGGGGCCGAGAAATCAGAATCTGGGAGGAATGGTACACAGAGCAACTTCAGGCTCGGGAGGAAATAAAAAAGGTGGGGAGTGGGGATTTAGGATCCCTGGAGCCTGAGGATTGCATTTTAGGTAGGCACAGGCAATGCTTACCGTACAGGGCGACTGCATCCAGGGTTCGCCATCAATTTGCATGGGAAGGGTCTTTGTGGTGCTGCGGGAGACCAAGGCAAACTGGTGGAGAGTCCTTTACCGGCCCAAGACAGACTATTTCTTAGGCTGGCTTTGAGAGCCTGTTACTGAGGCAGCTCCAGTGCAGCCCCCTCCAACCATGCCCAGACCCCTGGTTCTGCTCTCCGGGACCCACTCCTCTTAGAGACCCGAGTTTTCCTTACTGGAAAGTGATCTCAGAGCACTTGGCCAACCGATGTCCTGCACTCTTGAGCTTGGTATAGATCTGGCCCATCTCAAGTGCACCTTCCAGCCCCACCACTTCCAGTCGTTTGTCGCCTAGGTCTGGGGCAGGAAGCAGGAGGATGGGTTTGGAAGAAGCACAGTGCGCCAAAGGACCGCACCTTCCCACCAGTCCCACCCCCCGGCGCTGCTCCTCTCACCTGGTACACAGGTTTTCAGGATGTCAGGGTCGGTGATGACTTTAGCGGTAGCGCCCAAGGCCTGGTTGATCCCATGTATGTCCCCTTGGGGTTTCTTGGTGTCACCCCAGAGGTTGGAGCCACCGTGCATGCTAGGGATGTTGAGCACTGCGATGCCTTCTAGGGACAAGCTGCTTAAATCCAGCGGTTTCCCGCAGATCTGAAGGGAAGAGAGCACCTAACACCTCACGGCATAGGCAGGCAGGCAGGTGAACACTGCTGCCGCCACAGGACAAACTGGGAAGGCCGCGATTTGGAGGTTTGCAAGGCATGGAGGGAAACAGGGATCGTTGTAGCTTAATTGAAAAGTCAGGATTGGAGAGCAAAGTACAGGTTTGCTCCCCTGCATATGGGCTAGGGAAGAGTTCACATGTGGGAATATGGACGTTCCCGAGTGTATCGTGAACGAAGAGCTGAGATCTAAGACGCCGAAGGGATGTAGGCTTGGGGCTCAGCACACCCACCTCAACTGTCAAAGCCTCCTCCAGCTTTTTGCACGTCGAGAAGATGGATTCCGATGTGGCAAACTCAAAGTACCAGAGCTTGTTCTTCATTCTGTCAGCCCCAACACAAAGCCCACAGGGAGGGGCTGCATCACACAATGCAGGCAAGGGGGGGGGCTGTGACAGGGAGGGCCTCGAACTCCAGACTTCAGTCCCAGGGGGAGGAGGGTGGCTTTGGTTGAAGGGCTTCTTAGAGGTGTCGGTGCCCATGGAAGGGCCCTGTGTCAGACTCGATGGCAACCAGATCCCTGCAATGTCACTGCCCACATCTACCTCCCCTTCCCCTCACCTGCTGTTGAACTTCTCAGGATATTTCTCTCGCATGATGTGGAATCGGTGAGCAATAGAGGCATCCTGGAGAGTTCAGGACATATACGATCAGAGGCCTGCCTCTTCTCAGCACAAAACTCTCTTTAGCTCCCTAGTTTGGGAGCAATTATGTCCCATGTTCTTTTTCTGCAACCTCCGGATCCACCCCCAATTTCCCTGTGTCACTGTTCCCTTAGCCTCCACCTTCCCCTTCTGCCCGCCCTCTGCCTGTTTGATCCCACTGGTTCCCTCCACCCCAGCCCCTACTCCACTGACCACACCAATGGAGAAGTAGTTATTGATGATATGGAAGGGGACAGGGTCACTCTTTTCTTCAGTATTTTGCGGTATCACCTCCACAGACCATCGATCCATATGTACCACCTTACTCATCTCTAAATCCTTGAGGATCTTCCCCAAATTCTGACCATCATATCCTAGGGAGAAGACAAGTCGGCACTGAGTCCTGGTTCCAGGGCTCTCAATGCCCAGCCCCACGTGTTATGAGAGATCCGCTGCCCTGGTTCTGCAGACCAAGGCTGGTTAGTGAAAGGGCGGGGTGCTTGGTCATGTCCCCCAAGAACCGGTCTCAAGGGGAGGTGAGCCCCTCGCTGACCCTTTTCTTCACATCATGCTGTCATGGAGGGTGAGCTTCCCAGTGTGTGTATGCCTCTAACAGTAATGCCAGAGCTCATCTAGAAGATTGGAGAAAACAGCCAGGGAAATGCAAAATGCTAAAAAAAATGAGCGATGAGTGGAGAATACTTCTCTCTCTCACCATCCCTCTAATTCTACCAAATAGAGCACTGTAGGAAGAAATAGGGTCTAAATCGTGTGATACTGGCACAGCGAAAAGAATGAAAAGTTCAATAGTGGGCCTCCCGGTTATATAACCTTCCTTGTTTGCACATCCTCCTCCTTCCCTCCCCTATGTCCCTTGATTCTCTGAGGCCTAATTGTTGGCTGGGAGAAATATAAGACTATTTGTTTATAGAGAAGAGGACAGTCACCCTCGATACTTGTAGGTTCAGATGATGGTCCCTGCCTCTTCCAAAAGTCATTTTCTAGCCCCCACCCATCCGTGCCCCTCTTTTTCCCCAACCCTCTTTCTAGAGCAGATACCTAGATTCTCTCTTAAGTATTTTTCCCTTCCACAAACCCGGGAAAACAATTTCTAATCACTTACCTCCTCCCCATCTTAGGCAACGAGCCAGATCGTTTCCCGTGCCCAGGGGCAACACAGCCACAGGAGGCAAAAAAGGCAAATTGGCTTTGTCTGGGGGGTGGAGCAGGTGAGGAGATGGAGAGAGGGGGTTGGTTCTGGAAGGCCACTGTCCCAGTGCCCTGCCTAGAGCCTCTCCCTGCACTGACCAATAGTTTCTAGAATCCAGCCTACTGTGCCATCTCCACCACACACCAAAATCCGGTAAGCAGGAATCTCTCTGAAGAATTTGAGCCTGAGACAAAAAGAGAGAGAAGATGAGGAATAACAACAGTACAGAGGCTGCCCAGCCCTTAGACAAGACTACTTCTTGTCTCTCATTCCCTATGATACCCTTGTCCTTTGTCAAAAGATTTGAATTTCTATTAAAAGCAGAGAAAAAATACAATGGGAAAGTTATAGCCACTCCTCCATAGTAGGGGAAAATGGCACCTTGATCCTGTTGTTACAGGGCAACCCATTCTAAAATGGGTTGCCTGACTGTGGGTCCTCGCCCGCGTCCTTAAAAGGGACTTACACTGCAGGCACACACAAAAGGTTAACAAAAGGTTTATTTACAAGGGAAGGGGAATGAGGAAATGTACAACCCAGGGAGAAAAGAGGCAGATAAATTCTTAAATGCATCCTACCCGTTCCGCGACCTGGAATCCCAAATGACCCGCCAAGACCAAACCTGCCTGGCTTAGAGTGTGAGCCAAGTGCCCAAGACTCCACTAACATGGCTGGTTTTATTTACAAACTGAGAAAATGACTGCTTAACTCCGCCCTTAGGTCCTTGCAACTTCCCTTTGGGAATCATGGGATTTGTAGTTCCCAGTGTCTTGATGCAGTGGGGGTGGCATCCACAAAGCCTGTATTGAGTTTGCTCAGGACAGCCTTTTCCCCTAACAATTTCAGGTTAGTAAAAAGATGAGGCAGAGGGCCTCCCGAGTGGGGCAAGGGGTTAAGTCTCAGCACTATCAAGCTATCACCAGCCACTGCAGCACAAGTTCGATCCCTGGCCAGTGAGGTGACCCACATGGCACAGCAGGCCTCTCCTTAGCAGTGTATTTCAGTGGATCCGCCTGTTCTGCTCCCCACTCTGTTTCTGGTGGGTCCTCTCACTCCACCCCCACACCTCTGGCCTGTACCCCAGTTCTTGTATGCATAAATAAAGAAATCTTTAAAAAATAAAAAAGACGAGACAGGGAACTCATGGCGGGGATACTTGATGACCCTAGGAAAAGCAGTATTCTGAATTCTGATTTCTTGGGGTCCCCTAGTCCTCCCCTCCAATGTGCATGTTTTCCTGTTCTTTTCTAACATCCCAGACAGGCACACACACAAACACCGTGATACAGCCCGTGACCCACACTCACCCTAGTTCAGGACCGTCCTTAACAAGGTTGAATACCTGCCGGGGGTTTAGTAGATACTGGAATTTCCAAAGCACCCTGTGTGAGGGGGAAAAGGGAAGCAAGGGATGAAAAATCAGCACCCAACCCTCTTAATGTCCTCGTCAAGGTTTACCCCCTCCACACAGAGCCCTCCCTCTCCACAGTGTATCTCTTCTCACCTCTGTCCCTGCTTCCCACCACTCTTAGGGTTGACAAACACCAGAAGCGGGTGGGTATTAGAAACAGGATCAATCTGCATTGGGGGGAAAACAAGGAAGAGAAAAGCAGGATTTCATCAGTATCAAGCTGAGGCCCAGAGACAGGGGCAGAACCCTGGCATTCCTCCAACATGCTGTGTCCCTCTCCAATGAGGGTGGAAGAGAGGGAAGGGGGTGTTTCTGGCACCGTTCCCCAGGTTTCCCACGGCATTCCCTCCCGTCGGGGCTCCATCCAAGAAAAAACACCCCCATCGTGAAGCCCAAGTGCCGTACCCGCATAGCCTCAAAGGTGCTCAAACCTAAATCATCCACCATCTTGTGGCCTGCTTTGTTACTTTTACGCTCCTGTCCAGAGGCCTAGGCAGGAAGAAAACAGCGGAAAGGAAAACTGGGTTGTGTGTGACTCCCCAAACAGATGAGTCCGACTTGAATCCCCAAAGTACAGGCTCTCGCTTCCAAATGGCTGTGGTGTGTGTGTGTGTGTGTGTGTGTGTGTGTGTGTGTGTGAAAGTCAGGGAAGCTCTCGGGCCCCTTCCCGCTCACTGCCGAGGGGCTCACCAGTACGCTGGGAAAGATGGAAGACGGAGGCAGGATGTGATCCCGCAGCAGCCCGCAGTCACACTCGGGGCCCACGGCTGAGAGGCAGTCGTCGTGGATCTAAAGACAAGACGGGCACAGAGAGATCACGGAGGGAATCTCCCCCCCTCCACTCGGGGTTCTGGAGCTGGAAAGGAAGTCCTTGGGGGCTGGGACAGCTGGCTGACAGGGACCGTCCTGGAATCTAGGCAGCTGAGGGGCTGGCGAGGACAGAGGCTGGAGGGACAGCGCCCCAACTGACCTCTAGGTGGCACCACACACAATGCAGCCCGGCCAGACTATGGTAGATCCGGATCTTCTTCTGACAGCGGTCGCATCGCCCAGACTCACAGCCTCCTCGCACCCACACATGGGATTGCACCTTGAGGAGAGAGGCAATCTCTTGCCTGAGCGGGTCTGATTAGGGACTGGGGGAGGGCTGAGGGCAGCAGTGGGTGCTGGGAGGGTCACTCACACCAATGTCCTTCCGAGACTTGGCGTAGGTGCTGACTTCGCACGGCAGGGCCTTCATGGCACACTGGTCGTGAACGACGTACTTACAGACTGGGTGAGAGGGAAGAAGGTCAGAGCCTTAAGTGCAGCCCCTCCCCCTATTTCCTCCTAAACTAAGGGCAAGGGAGGATCACTCACTCTCACACTCACTGAAACAAAGCAAAATATCTTGGGCCTCTCTGGTGGTGCAGGGGTTAAGTCTCAGCACTATGAAGCTATTCGCAGCCACTGCGGCATGAGTTCAATCCCCGGCCAGGGAGCTGACCCACAGGGTGCAGCAGACCTTGCTTGTTTCTCCCGCTGCTCCCCTCAGCAGTGTATTTCATAGATCCGCCTGTTGTGCTCCCCACTCTGTCTCTGGTGAATCCTCTCACACCCCCACCTTCACACCTCGGGCCTAGACCCCAGCTCTTACATGCACAAATAAAATAAATCTTAAAAAAATAAGAAAAACAAAAACATCTTGCTGTGAGGGTGTGGTAGAGAATGAAAGTTAGGGGTGGGAGCGCACCTCCAAGACCTGTGCCTTGTCCTCACTTTCCTCCCTAAAAGAGCGGCTGCTGCCGCAAGCCCACCCCACTCCATCCATGTGCCGGGAGCGGAGCTGGATGATGCATGGGAGGCCCAGATACAACAATACTCCTAATAACTAAGGACAATAGACTTAACAGTACGTGCATGCACTGTGCAAAGCACTTTTCTTGCACCGTCTTATTCAATACTCACAACTACCCCATTTTCAGTTGAGGATATTAACAACAAAACATTACGCGGCTTTCCCAAGGCCACAGGACGTGTCCGTGGCGGAACCCAGGCCTCAAGTCCAGCCTGTCTAAGCTCAGAGAGCCATGACCCGCGGCTGACCGCTGCCTCTGCTCCCATCCTGCCAGGCCAGACACTCACTGTTGCAGCTCAGTCCTTGTTTGCCAAGACCAATGCTCGACTCGCACAGGTTACAGTAGACTGGTCGGGGGAACCTCCTGGGTCTCCACATGTGCTGCCCGTTGTCCTTCAGGGTCTGGGAGAGCAGAACATTTGTTAGGGGGTGTGTAAGCATTTCAGGAGGCAACCTCCGTTTAGCACAACCCATGGGGCTACCTTACCCATCCTCGGAGGTCTGTCCTACTTACCATCTCCACGCCCAGCAGTACCAGCAGTGGCACAGTGGTGGCCCCAGCCCGGAGCCACTCAGCCAGGGACACGGAGCCGCTGCCATCGTAGTCAATTTCTTTCATCATCTCCTGAAGAATCTGAGCAGAGAAGGGGGCAGGGATTTTGGGTTTGAGCAGCCTCCTGAATCTGATGCCTCTCCACTGCCCCAGAATACCCCACCCAGTTATCCTGGTCTGTGAGAACCAGGCTGCCCATCGGAGAGAGTGTAAGGCAGACGCACGACTCGCCGAGGAGAAGGCATGAGAAGGGGCATGAACTCACCGGCCTCAGCTCAGACACATCCCAATCCAGGTATTCAGCCACTCGCATCATCTGCACAATGATTTTTTCGACTTCCTAGGGGCAAAGAGGGTCAGAGCCACAGCCATACCCCATCTCATACCCCATCTAAACTCTTCTCTAGAATTCAGGGTTCCTGGTTCCACCCTCAAACCCACCTCTCATTCTCAGGTGCCTCTGCCAAGGAAATGATTGTCTATGTGTGTTCCTACGTTTGCAAGGCAGCCCCCAATTCATGTCTCCAGCCTCCTCTTTTAGGGGTCAAGAACTTGGGACCTACTCCCAAGTTTAGTCCTAGAGGACTCAACTTCTCCCTCTGCGTCTTAAGATCCTGAAAGAGTTGGGATAGGAGGGCACAGACAAATGGACACACACTCCCTTGCCCAGCGAACGGGTCCCACAACTCACCGAGCTGTCCAGGATTCCATTTCTGTCCGTGTCGTACAGCTTGAAGGTGACTGTGGAGTGTTTTAGGGAGGCCAGGGTCAGTTTGTGAGGGATACGCAAAGAATTCATAGCACAAGACAGTAGAAACAAAGAGATAGGGAGAGACCTTTTGGCTGAAGAGCCCAGGGCTGGGGGCTGGGACTGAGAAAGGAAACAGACAGGGAAGGGAAACAGGCTTGGCTTCTGCCCTTGGTGCACCTGACAGGGGAGACAGCATACGTGTCCCACCTCCCAAGAGCATGTATTCCCAGGACGCCCACAGGAGACCAGACGTGGGTCCTGGGGTGACTGCCGTGCACAAGAAGTCTGGAGGAAAGGAGAAAATGGGCCCTTTCTCTCTCCCCCATCCCTCATGTTTTATGGCCCTGGGGAATAGCCCCTCTCTCCTCTCTTTCCTGCCCCTCCCCGTCCAGAGGCAACTCACATTCTAGCTTGTCTTCTGGCCGGCCCCCCTCCAGAAGGGAAAAGTAGCAGGAGACGTCACTGAGGCACACCACATCTGGTCACACGAAGGCAGCAGGTGTGAGCTGGGGGAACCCTCTACTCTGGCTCTTTGTTTGTTCCGCCTCTTCCCTTTCACCTTCCTCCCTCCAGCTCTGCGACCAGCCCGACCCCCCCCCCCCCACCGCCCTCCACCTCTCTTTCCCAACACCCTGACCCGGGATTCGATTTAACTCTCATCCCCAAACATCTGACTTTCCTTCCAATGGCGCCCTCAGCTCTCACTTGCATGGCCATACCTTTTTCCACACTCTCTTCTAAGTTTTGGCCAGTCTGGAAGGACTGAAACAGTGCCAGGCTCAGGTGAGCGGGGACATTATCCGTTTCCAGGTAGATTTTCAGGAATTGCTGGAATCCCTCGTACCCAATGGCCTATGATGAGAGTAAGCATTACTCTGGGGAGTTGGGGGCTAAATAATTAGGAGGAGTGACTACAGAGAGAGCGAGTGCTGAGAAGAGCCAAAGCAGAGTATGTTTCTTGGGCCAAGTCCTGAGTTAACAGCATCTCTTGCTTTGTCCTAAGGAAGAGCTGTAGGGACAATGGATGCTGAGGAGTCTAGAGGGAAGGTAGCAGGGGGCGCACCCAGAATAATCTCTGGAAATTGGGGATCTCCATGAAGTAGCAAAAATAATGGGAGGAGTTAGCCAAGGAGAGGATTTCCTAGCTGCCACTCACATCTCCTTGGAGATATTCAGCCATGTCGCCATCCTCAAATTGCTTTAGGACATCACTGACCTTTTGGGTAGAGTCTAGTGAAGACAGTGAAAGAGCATTATTAGTCTGGTTCTGCTCTCCCACCCCCCTGCCACAACCCCATTCAATACCCAACAGGAGAAAAGATCCGAGTGAAAAAGGAGAAAAGACATTACAAGAAGAAATACAGAAAGAAAAACATTTCAGGTCCTCCAAAGTGGGGTCCCTCCTCTCCAAGACCGGGAGGAGTCAGCCCAGAGTCAGAGAGAGTGGGGAGAGCTGAGACCCCTGGCATCTCCCCCTCGTCCTCTCCTCCTTTTTCTAGATAATGCATATTTCAGGAGCAGACAGGCTCAAGGCCACTGGGGAAACCAGGGTGGCGGGAAAGGAGGAAGGTGAGGAACTCGGGGGAGAGATTCTCCAGGACAAATTCTCAAAAATTGAAGGGTTGCAGGGGTGGTGCAGGGGTTAAAGTCTCAGTGCTATGAAGCTATGGCCAGCCACTTGGCACGAGCTGGATCTCCGGCCAGGGAGCTACCCACACGGCGCAGCAGACCCCTCCTGTCCCCCCCTGCTCCCCTCAGCAGTGGACTTCAGTAGATCTGCCTGTTCTGCTCCCCACTCTGCTGCTGGTGAATCCTCTCACACACACCCCTGCAGCTCCGGCCTGCACCCCAGCTCTTGTATGCATAAATAAATAAAACAAATCTTTGAAAAAAAAAAAGGAAAGGCTGAGAGGAAGACTCACATTCCATGTATTTTTGCAGCTGGGCAAAATCACTGGGGCTTATCAGGCCCTTCTCCTTGGCCATCCTCTTCTTCTTCAGGGTGGTCACGAACACCGCCTGGCAGTAGTACCTGCAGCGCCGGGGCCTCCACTGGCTCTTGCTGATCTGGAGGAAGAAGAGGAGCTGCGGTGGGAGAAGCCAGCTCTGTGTCTCTGCCCGTGCCCTCGTTCATTCCCGTCTCCACTGCTTCCATCCTCTTAGTCTCTGCCCTCCCTAAGTCTTTCCTTCCTTGTCCCCCACCCTTCAGTCCCCAGGTCGTCTCCCCTGACAGCGCTGTCTGGCTCTGGCTCTGACCCAGCTCCATCTAACTCTCCCCCATTTCTGGTTCCTTCTCCAGCCCTCTGACTTCTCCCCAGTCGTCTCAGCTCGTCTCTGACCACCTTCCCCTCCCCTCGCCGCCCCGCACCTGCTCCCCCCACCCCCCACTTCACGGGTCAGAGTGTGCCCGGCTCGGTCTCTACCTTTTGGACCGCCCACCCCCAGTCTCTGCGGGTCTCCCACTTCCCATCCTGCGGGCCGGGCCCTCACTGGTTTGGGCGCGGGCGCACGTCTCCCTGGCCACGACCCCATCTTGCTCCGCCTCCGGCCGCGGCCCCGGCCACCCACGCCCCGCAACGACCTCTTAGAGCTTCGGACGCGTGACACAGAACCAGCTCTGGCCAGGTGCCCGGCCCGGCCCGCCGGGCTCCGAAGGGGAAGGGCAGGGAGCGGCCAGCGGCTGCCTGCGGTCCCCCTGCAAGGGGGTGGCGCGGAGTGCGGGTCTAGGACGCCAGGGTCTTCTCCCGCCCTGTTCCGTTGGCCGTGTTTAGGGAGGCCCCACTTTCGGTTAAGAGACCCAGAGCCCAAAGGGGAGCCACCGCGCGGTCATGCCGACCACCCGCCCAGGGGCCGGGGCTCAGAGGCATCTTGCAGTAGCAGCAGCAGCAGCGCCCTGGGATGGTTCAGCGGGCTTGGGAGTAACCCAGAGCCAGGGGCAGTGATACCTAGTTCCATTCTTAGCTCTGCTACCTCTGTGTGACTTGGGCAGATTTCACCTGTGACATGGGAATGACAGGTACCTGTACCTCCCAGTTGTGAAGACCGAGTTAAATAATATATTAAAATACCTAGGGCCTCCTCAGTGGCCCAAGGGGTTAAGCGCCACACTGTGAAGCAATCCACAGCCTCTGCAGCACAAGTTCCATCCCTGGCCGGCCAGGGAGGTGACCCACATGGCGCAGCAGACCTCTCCTGTCTCGCCCGCTGCTCCCCTCAGCAGTGTATTTCAGTAGATCTGCCTGTTCTGCTCCCCACTCTGTCTCTGGTGAATCCTCTGCATCTCTGGCCTACACCCCAGTTCTTGTGTGCATAAATATTTTTTTAAAAAGTACCTAGCATAGCACCTACACATAAAAGGCTTACATTTCTATTATATTAACAATTAAAGTCAAATCCCACAAGAGAGGAAATTATTGGTTATAACCATTCTTCATTCTACAGATGATGAAACTGGAGCTCTAAGAGGTTGGGGTGTCCCAAGGCAACTGGTAAGTGGAAGAGCCAAAGGCAAAACTTGAACCCAAGCATCATAGGGTGGGGCCCCTGCTTATCTCTCTGTCCTCCTCTTGTTCCACACATTGTCTTCTCGTCTCACTGCCCTCTTTTCTGTTCTTCAAGCACACCTAGTCCTTCCTGTGCAGGGTCACAAGGAATACCACTCTTGGCAGAGCTGACTTCTTGTCCAAAGTGAAATGTCAGCTCCCCCAACAGATCGTTCCTGATCATTCCATCCTAAAGCATTCGCCCTCCTTTCTTCTTTTCCTTCATAGAATTTATCACAAGTGTAAATAATCTTGCTAATTTAATGTGCTTCTTTATTTTCTGTCTTGTCCTAATAAAACGCAAGTTCCTCAAAGACAGGAATTCATCAGTCTTGTTCACCATTATATCTCCAATATCTAAAACAGCACCTAGCATGGAGTGGGTGTTACATATTGATTACACAAGTGATTGGGTAGTTAGGGAGTCATATTTTGGGAAGATTAATCTAGGACAGTTAAATGGGATGCCAGAGTATTAGGGAAATATGAGACCATTTGGAGCGCATCTAGTAGGTGCTATGTTACTATTTGTTTAATGAATGAATGATGCTTAAAAAGCATTAATTGAGGTATGCCATTCGAGGCTCTGATCTCCTGCCTCCCTCTGCCCATTTATTTAGGGCTTATTGGGTCAGATTCAAGGAGATAATACCTATGAGGATTTCCTTTCTGATAGGCAAGAATCTTCCCTGTGATCTCTGCCTTTGGGATATCTCTGCTGCCCACCTTCCTTCCATAGTATAACTTTCCTGTGCTGGGAGCTTTCTGGGAACACTTAGAGTCTGGGGCACACATTCTGGAGAAAGGACTCCACCCATCTGATCCTTTTCAATGACTATAATCCAACTCTGCTGCCAACAAATCTAATGAATACATAATAGTCTTATGGCTAATGGGACCTGTATGGCTTAATTAGCCTCTCTGATTACCCCTGGGGATTCTTAGATGGCTCCAAAGTTCTAGGAAATGGGATTGGAGAAAGAAAGTGACAGAGCAAACAAGGGACAATAAACAGGAAAGAGGACCGGACACTTTTCTTTTAAGTATCTTTTCACAATGATGCTTCCTGGCCCCCAGGGTCTTAAACATAATATATCGTACAGTTTAAGAGAATGGTGGGCATGGATTAGAATTCTAGCTCTTGGGTGAGTTATTTCATCTCCCTAAACCTGTTTCCTCTTTGTTAAAATGGCTACCTAGAGAAATCAGTCACAAAGTGGGGATTAAATAAGATAATACCGCTCAGAAAACTGCAAGACACACAGGAAGAATTCAACAAAGATTCGCTCTTATTGTTATTATATTATACAAGGGTGGCACCTAGAGAAACACATGCTGAGATCAAGAAAAATGGTGTCTTTGACCCAGAAAGGCATAAATTCTAGGAACTTCCAGCAACAGCGACGCCCAGTTAAAAGCCCCCTCCCCCGACACGTCATATCTCAAGCACGAGGACACACACGTAGTATCACAGTCCTGCACTTTGCCTCTGGGAGGCTGGTGAGATGACTAGAACCTAAAGTGTTAGGGCCCAAGGGCATCCCTGGTCTGGGCCCTTGGACATAGGGCTCCTGGGATCTTTTCGACTGTCCTCCTGACTTCTCTCCTTGAAAGTTTGGCTACCCCACGTTGCTGAAAGGCAGCAAGCTGTAGGATTCTGGGGCCTTAAAGACCTGGAACACGTCCAATTTTGTCCTCAGCTCCATCCCAAGCCTGAGGCTATAACCTGGGCTAGTCCAGGCGGATGCTGGGACTGGGAGGGTGGGGTCTGCTGCCCGCCGTGGCCTGCCAGCTATTTGTGAGTCACCAGTCTCTTTCTCCCTCTAGTTTCCCTGCCCACCCCGAAAACTTGGGGGAGAAAGTAAGAAGCTGACTTGGAGGCAGAGAATGCTAGAACATCATCTGAGCTGGGAGGCACCAACACTCATCGTTTAAGGAGGAGAAAATTGAGACCCAGAGAGAGCCAGCAACTCTCTCAAGGTCACAAGCAGACTCTAAACATTCCGTCCTCTGGTTTTCTCGCTCTTGTTTTAAACATCAAATACTAGAATTGCTGGTAACCAAGGGATAGACATGATTGCCAAAGCCAGTGCAAACATTTTCAATTTCCCTTTTCACTTCAACATTCTTGCTCACATTCCAAGTCATTTAAGTTTATCATTACTCAGGAACCAGCGATGCCCCCCAGCATTCAGGCTGATGCAGCAAGGACCACAGGGGCCGGGCACTTCCCTTTGAGGACCCGCGCCTGATTACCTGGGCTTCTGAATCCCTTATCCAACACCCGGGGCCTGCAGCTTCCTTCCCTTTTCTAGGGCTAAGGGAAAGGTTTATTCTCCCCAGTCCATCCCTGCTGCTAGTCAGTGGCCCCTAAAAGGGAATAATTTGGCTTGATGCCTCAAATTTGTTAAGCCTCCACAAACATGGCAGATGCCTGATTTGGGGGGTGGTGTTTGTGTATGTGGGGGGAGTGTCATTGTGCAGCACAGGAGGAAGTTGTGATGCTGGCACGTTAGGGGGATGTGTGGCGATAGGTTCTGAGCCTGAGGGGATGCCCAGCGAGATTTGCATCTCCTCGGTAAAGCCAATTTCCCCCACGTAAAGGTAAAAAGTGGGATTCAGACCCAGGTAGTTTCCAAACTTCCTGGTGACAGGTGTGGGGAGCACGGGGGTGGGGAGCTGGGGACTAGGAGGCCAAACAAGAGCCCTTCTCCACCCGTGCAGGCTGCGGAGGGTCCAGAAGGGACTTCCCGCCGACTCTGGGACCCCGGAGCCGGGCTGCACCGCGTCGGGGCGCGCGCGGGAGGGGTGCAGGGGGAGGCCCGGAGGGGGGGGCGCTGCCCATGCAGCTCCGGCCCAGTCCTGCCGCCGCCTCCCGCGCCCCGGCGCAGACCTGCGAGCACCCGCTGCAGCTGTCACGCTTCCTCCTTCTCGGCCCAGCCGCCCTACCCCGGCCCTGGGGGCGGCCCCCCCCGGCCCCCCCCTTCTGCCCCCGCGGCGGCCGGGCCGGCGGCGGGGCTCGCGGGGTCTCTACCTTGCCTGCCGCGGGCGCGCGGTCGGAGCTGAGGCGCCGGCGCCGGAGCTGGAGCCCGAGCTGGGCTGGAGGGGACGGGCCGGGCAGGCGCGGCCGCCGCGGGGCCGCCCAGCTCCTGACGACACAGCCCCCGCCCCCCGCCCCCCGCCCCAGCCCGCCCGCGCCGGCGCCCGCGCCCCCGACGCCGCGAACTTGCCGGCTGAGAGGCCCCTGTTTCCAGCTCCCCCGGCCCTGACGCGCCCGGCCCCGGGATCGCGCGGGCGCTCGGGTCTGCGCCCCTTTCTCCACCGCCTGCGCCTCGCCCCACGCCGGGCTCCGCTCCGCGGCTGTCCTCGTTTACCTTCCTACTCACCCCCAGCCCGTGCCCGCGCTCCAGGGCCGGGAAGCCCAGACAGGGCGCCGGACCTCCGATGGGAGCGCACGGCGGCTGCAGACCCAACCACCTCCCTGCCCTGTTACGCGCTGCCATCCAGGGACTTCCCAACTCGCTCCCGCGACCATTGGCTGAAGTCTTACTCAGGAGATCCCGCAGCTGCCGGAGTTCCAGAGATCCAAAAAGGTCACACACCTCTCACACACACAGACACACGCACCTTGCCGTGGGCTGCACGCTGCCTGACACGACTTGAGAGACACTGCCCACCCTTGTCTCCAAGGTTCCTCACCTCCCCAAAACCCAAACCACAGGATGTCTCCGACTTGTTTTCCCGACTCCGTGGACACCTCCTTGTCTCAAGACTCAGATCCTTCCCCTAATTCTGGGGTAGAGGTAGAGGTAGGTACAAAGAGCACGTTAGTCTGTGCCCACGCTTTCTCTATGCTCCAACCCTCCTACTTTACCTGTGGGCCTGGGCAGGTGGTGTAGAAGGTCCTGGCCAGAAGTAGGGGTGACAAGGGATCCTTTTAGCTCCTCCTGTCTGGAGTCTGTTACGCAGTTATTAAGGCTCTTGGGGAGGCATGGGTGGTGGTGAGGTTGATACAGCTAGGCAGAAAGGCAGAGGCCTAGGGACTTACTGGTACGAACTGGGGACCCAAGCATCCTGCTCCCTGGCCACGCCCCAACCCCATCTAACTCCCTCCTACCCTTCATTGAAGTAGGGCACAGTGACAAAGGTTTGAGTTTGGACTCTTCCTTCTTATACCTGGCAGTGGAACAAAGGGGGTGGGGAGAGCTCTGACTGGAAGGTTATCTGTGTGGGTGTATGATGTATGTATGCTCTATATGTACACAACTCACACACATAATATATACATACTTTGGTGGTGGTCGCAGAGAAGGAAGGATACAGGAGGCCCTCTAGTGGAAACAGGGATTCTAAGCAGTTCTTACTTTTTTTTTCCAAGAAAGGCTTGTTGGAAGACACCTCCATTTTAATAAAAGCATGTAGTTGCTGAGTAATAGGGTTTTGAAGCATTATTGGTGCATCTGAACTGGAAATCTGCCGCAGGAATTGTCTTTCTGCTTCTATAGTCCCTCCAATTTTAAACATGCAAGGCCTTGCTACTCTTCATTTTTCATCTCTTATATGACCTCCTTAGTTATAATACAGCCAATACTGTTGAAGGTCTGGTATGCACCAGGTCCTGTACTTAGTTAACCAACACAGTCAAAGACATAGCCCAGAGTGGCTGTGTGTGTGCACACACACACACACTCACCCACATGCATACACATGTCCATGCTACACACAGGGACTCCCATTCTACGTCAGTGTATATAAACATACAACATAAGAACAAGTCCCCTAACCCCTCTTCCAGTCAGTTTTCTGCCCCTGAAACTCTCATCTGGGAATTCTGGAATGATGTTCATCTTTACGACACTCAGCTTTCTTTGTAAATACATACTCCTAGGGACATCATTCTATGTATGACCTGTTTCCCATTCCATCATCTTCAGATATATCCCTACAACAAGTTTAAGATGCTCCTTTTAAGATACTTTTTGAGATTTCAATGAAGGTCAAGAGGTGATGTATCTAATAAGGAAGAAGTTAGACTCAGTCACACTCTAAGCTCCTTGTGTCTTCTTTATGATCTGTGTTCCATCATACCCTTAGTCAGTTATTGGTGGGGGTGGGGAGAAACAAAGGCCAAAAAACATCTAAGGAGGAGGCGTCTACTGCCTATGGTTCCAGGTGCTCATTTCTTTAATCAACCACATCATAAAAATCAGAAAGAAAGAAACCACAATGAACAAAGGGAAAGGAAAAAACAACAGCCTTTTTCTCCCCAGCCTCTTCTTTCTCCTCTTCCTCCTCAGGGTGGGGGGTCACATCCGGGGCTGAGTGCTGGGTCCCAGGCAGGTCTGCTAGGCAGACAATTGAGTTTCACTTCCTGTCAACCCCAGAACTGAGGCAGGATGTCTTGGGGTATGGTGGGGGACCTATACAGGTAGTCAGTAGGGGTTGCTTTAGAATCCCCTCTTGCAGAAAGTCCCATTGGACAGTCCACTAACTAGTACTCATCAGGTTGTGCAGTCAAGACCCAGACATCCCTTTAGTTTTCAGTCTTCATCCTATCATTAGTAAGAAGGCTAAAGAGGGCCTCCCTGGTGACGCAAGAGGTTAAGTTTCAGCACAATGAAGCAACTGCAGCAGAAGTTTGATCCCTGGCCAGGGAGCTGACCCACATGGCGCAGCTGACCTCTCCTGTTTCCTGGCTGCTCCCCTCAGCAGTGTATCTCAGTAGATCTGCCTGTTCTGCTCCCTACTCTGTACCCGGTAAATCTTCTCAACCTCCTGCACCCCTGGCCTACAACCCAGCTCTTGTTTGCATAAAGAAATATATCTTGGGCCTCCCCAGTGGCGTAGCGGTTGAGCGCTGGGTTGTGAAGCTGCTCACAGCCTCTGCAACGCCGGTTTGATACCTGCCGCCAGGTGAGGGTCCCACATGGCACGCAGACCTCTCCTGCCGCCCGCTGCTCCCCTCAGCAGTGTACTTCGTCAGTCTGCCTGCTCTGCTCTACTCTCTGCTCTGGCTCTGGTGAATTTGTAACAGGGTGGTCCCTAGGAAAGGGGGAGGTTCCAGGTTCCTGCCCCATGTTGGGCGCCAATCTGTGCCACCATAGATATGGTAGAATAAAAATTAAAAGGGGGGATTGTAACAGGGTGGCCCCCAGGAAAGGGGGAGGTTCCAGGTTTCCTGCCCCATCCAAAAGGAGGGTGGAGCTGAGAGAGAGAAGAGGCTGCAGAGGAGACTGAGGAAGGAAGCAGGATGGAGCCAGAAGGAGACCTGGAGGAGGCGCATGGAGCCTAGAGACACGTGAAGAAACTGTGCTTGTCTTTTGGTCGTGGATGGGGTGACACAGATGTGGGTGAGACCCATGGGGAGGTGACAATGGCAGCTTTTATTTTGATTTTGATTTTGCTCTTTTCCTTCCGGGCTTGTCTGCTTGTTTCTGACCCTTTTCTGTGGGTCCCCACTGGAAGGTGCTTTAGACTTGGGGCAGGCTTTGGGGCCTTGCTCTGGGCCAATCCCATTTGGATGGACTTTTACCCACGAGGAGATGGGTAACTTTGGGTGCTTGATTTAGAAAATAAATTCTTTGCCTTTTCTGTATTGTTTCCTATTGTATTAAAGTTCCTTCCCATTAAAGTCTCATATGTTTTGTGTTGATGCGGCGGATGGCAGAACCCATTTAGAATAGGCAGGTTTGCAGGTGTGGGCTGCCCCTCTCCCTGCCCTGTAACAAATTCTCTCACCCTCCCATGCTTCTGACTGTATCCAGTGCTTGTATAAATAAATAAATAAATAAATAAATAAATAAATAAATAAATAAATAAAATGATTTTCCTTTTAAAAAAGAAAGAAACCTTAAATAAATCTTTACAAAAAAAAAGGCTAAAGACAGAATGCTAGATCTGGCAGGCAGAGAGAAGAGCATGGGTCAGAACACTTGGAATAACTGTGTTTGATGCAAATCAGTTCTTAAATGAATCTTTTTAAGACCTTCAGAGTTGAGCCTTTGGTGAAAGTCAGGGAGGTGGGGCATGGGAAGGGAGACAACCTGGAACCAGAGAAAACTTTCAACCTCCACTTCAAAGTCTTAGGAAGTTGCTGGTCAGCCATTGCTGCTTTGCTTTTAACTGCCGCACGCAGCTTGGTGCTGTAGTGGACACTAACGTTCTCCCGGGTTCCAGAGGTTATACAGGCACTAACGTTAGCCAAAACGGGGCATTTGGGGTAAGGTAAATGGATCGATAAAGAATAGACCGGGGGGGGGGGGGCGGGGGGGGGGGCCGGGCAGGACCGGGCAGAGCCAACATCTGAGGAGAGGAATCTGCGGTCGGCCCCTCCCGGGCCGTAGGGGAAACGAGTTTAGCAGGACTTAGCCCTGAAGGAACAACGGCAGCTGAATGGCGCCGGGGAGGCCGACACCCGGGTTTGTTTACAGAGGGAGGCCCGAGCAGGGCAGGGCAAGAAGCGTGGCCGTGCGGCCGGGTCACGGGCCGGCTGCCCCTTTGCTCTCGGGCCGCAGACTTGGACGGGCTCATCACGCACTCACTGGGCCCGCCCGGGCCCTCGGCAGCCCTCTGACCCCGGGCCCAGTCCGGGGAGGCGCTGGGGTCGAAGGTCAGCACGCCGGGCCGTCGTCGCTGGGCCGCCCGGGCCGCCCCAGGGGCCGGGCTAGACCAGGGGCGCCGCCCCGCCGGGCCCGCTGCCGCCTCCTGGGCCGGGTCGCTGCCAGCGGCCCCGAGGCCGCGGGACCGGAGACGCCGGCAGCTCCCCGTCCCGCGGCCGCCTCGCGCGTCTCCGCGCCCGGGCTCCCCGGGCGGCGCAGGGCCGACGTCACGCGACCCCAGCCCCCGCCTCCGGGAGAGGGTTATTGGGGGGCTCGCATTTAGCCCCAACAGCGCCGGTGTGCCCCGCGGGGGCCTCAGAGTCTGCGCCCCCCCCCCCCGCGCCGACCCGGGCCGGGCGCGCCCCAGGGCCTGGACGCCCAGCCGCCCCCGCGCGTCGCCCCCTCCCGCTCTGCGGGCGCGCCGGGCCCCGGGCGCCCTCGCAGGTCCTGGACGGACGGAGCGTGCCTGCGAGGCGTGCCTCGGAACGTCCCGCAGGGCCCAGAGGGCCGCTTTTCGCCCAGCAGGCGCTCGACAGGGGCCCAGAGGCAGCACATGAGCCCGGGGCATGTAGTTCATTAAACTTCGGTTCTCCGCTCGCTTCCTCCTCGGCCTCCGCCCGTGAAATGGGGCACTCGCCCTTTAAGGCTAAGATGGTGGCTTGCTACGAGCAGGACTCCACTTCCGGTGAGGAGGGGGCGGGACCCCAGCCCGCTCGCGCCGGAAGTGGTTTGCGTTTTCAAGATGGCGACTCCCTATGTAACTGACGAGACCGGCGGTGAGTGCGGGAGGCGCGGAGTCCCTTCTCCCCGGGCTCTCGGGGCAGGGGTTCGGACTTGGAATGGGGTCTGTGCCCCGCCCATCCCGGGGCCCCTCCTTTGCCCCGCCCTCCGGACCGCCTTCTCCATTCATTCTCTCCTACCGGGTGTCGCCTGCGCCCTCTTCTGGTCTCGTGTTTGGGGGTCTCTGCTTCCGGTCACCCAAACCCTGGGGTCCTTCAATATTGGTCCATGCCCCAGGACCCTCTGGGCCCCTTAGGCTTTTCTCCAGCAGTTGGAGCTCCTCTTTCTCTTTTATGTTCTTCATCCTTGGGGGCTCCAACACTCTCAGTTCCCTCCAATTCCTATCATTCCCCCCATTGCCCCTCCCCCATATTTTAATTCTTTTTCTGGAAACTGTATCTGCGGAAGACCTCCTTGTTGCCACATAGTGCCCTGTTCACTCTCTCTCATCTTCACTGTTGGGTTATTGAGATCCAGAGGTGTGAAGGTAGAGGAATCTAATATAACTTTCATCTTTAGTTTTCTTAGTGATGCTACACTCACCTGCCTTCTTTGGGGATGGTGATGTAGGAGTTGAGGGATTTAAGGTGGAAGACGGCAAACAGGAAGGTGTGTAGTGGCTTCTCAATCCCTCTGACAAGTTGATAGAACCCAGTATTCCTTCTGGCTGGAGAAGTATTTCCAGCCTGGCTGATTGAGATTCTGAAGTGTCTGTTGTGCATGTGAGGTTTGTGTGTTGAAAACTGAGAATTCAAGATTTCCTTTGTGATTTGGCCCCAACCTAATTTCCTCAGAAAAATGTGCTTAGTAGTATCTACATAGTGACAGTCAAGTAAGATAGTGTATATGAAAATGCTTTGTGAAATGTTTTTTGTAGCCCTCATCATGTATGTGTAGTTTTGTGTAGAAGTGATGACTGTGTGTGCCGTGTTGCAGAGTCATTTTAAAATGTGTCATTTATGCTTCTTGCTTTGCTGCTTGACATGTTACTTTTCCTGTGGTATCTAATGACAGCCCAGGTCTTCTCCCCAGCCTCACATTTCAAAGTGGTCTAACCTCTCTCCTGCTCTCTACTCAGCAGGTCCTTTAACCAACTGCTTTTAATGTGTTTTTAGAAAATGTTACATATTGTCCACACTTATTTTTTAAACTATTTTCTTTAATCAGTTTTAATGAAAATCCAGATCTCACACATCACCCTATGCTCCCATCAAGAGATATGTTCTGTTCCCAGTGACTTTGTGGAAGAGGAGAAGAAATCACTGCTTTTTTTTCTTTCTTTCTATCCCTCACTACATACAGGCCATTAATCTACCATGGTTACTCTAGTCTTCATGTAAAGTTTTGCCGTGTAATTGTAGCATTTTCTCTAAAACCCCAGTGCCATCATCCTCTGCCCACAAGGAGCTAGACTTACATAGTTTTTCTCCACTTGGTCATTCTTGGTGTCCCTAACATATATGGAATACTCTTATATGAGACCCCTTTGCTATATATTTTCAAACCAGCAATACATCAGAATCTATAATGTAGACCTCATCTGTGACACCGCCTCGCTTCAGGTGGTCCCCGTATTTACTTCAGCCTCCGTATCCATCACCTTTTCACCATCACCAAACAGCCTTTTGCTCTCCCTAGGTTCTTGGGTTGTTGATCTTTCCCATTTCTTCGAGTTTCCCCTCATGACTACTTTGATGCTGTCCTGCTAGACCTGGGTGCCCAGCCACTTAATATTAGCTTCATTATTGGCTTTGTTCATTTTGATCCTCTCTTTAAGCAAGCAGTAGTGTTCTTTTGAATCATACCCAGCAACTTTTTTCTTGGCTTCTGCTTCTAAGCCAAAGCACAATGGTTAGAGAAAAGGCACAGAAGCTAGCACACTCAGTATACTATAACTTGATGTTCACTTCTGCCACGGTCATAATTTCTCCAGTTCTTTTTTCTTGGTTTGCTTACAGTCTGCCATGGCTGTTTTCCCAGCCCTTTTCAGCTCACTATGACATTCTCTTTTCATTTCTCCCTCTTGTGGCAGATGATCTCACTTTCTGTTTCATTGAAAAAGCAAGGCCTAATGTCTGTTTCTTTTCTATTCACAGCCTGATTTCTTGAATATTAGCTCTACACCTACTATTTCCACTTCCTCACTGCTTGTTCCTTAACTCTTTGTAGTCTTTTTTCTAGCACCTGTCTCTTGTGTTGCCAATTCTAAGTGCCTGATAAGATTCTAGTTTACCTTATCCTTTAGTACTGTTGTAACCTCCTAAATGGTTGTCCTGCCTCCGGTCTCTTTCTCTGTTCACTATTACCAGATTACTGGTCCTTAAGACCAAATTTAGTTTTGCAGTTTTTCTTCATATAATTTATCAACCCAGAGTCCACTGTTAAACTTGGTATATGTCCTTCTGATAATTGATTTTTTTCTGCGCATTTAACCAAAACAATTTTGGTATATAAATATTTATATCTTGCCTTTTCATTTAACCTTATGACTTAACTTTTTCTGTACTATTAAAAGCTCTTTGTAAATATCTTTTTAAATTCCCGGAAGAGTGTTTTATTGTTTGGGTATTTACCCTCTCTTACCTTTCTTCTCTTACTGGACTTTTAAATCATATCCAGGATTTTTGTTATAAGAACTTTGTAAACTATTTTTGTGCCTAAGTCTTTGCTTCCATTTAGGGTTATTTTCTTAGGATAGATTTCCCAGAAATAATATGGCTGGGTTGGAGGACACAAACATTTATTTATTTTATTAATTATAAAATTAATTCATGTTGAAATTTGGAAAATATTTTATTAGTAGTAAAAAAAATAACGCACTTACATATTTAGAATTCCAGAAGTCAAGGTTTAGTCTGTCTTTTAGTCTGTCTTTCTATACACATAAAACATATCTATGCTTAAAATATTTGGAAACATGCCTATATTTCTCAAAATATGGTCCTTACTCAGAACACTTAGATCTGTGAGATGTGCTACAAATAAGTACTTAAAATTAAGATGCCTGTGCTCACATAAATTTGGGCAACATTGTAAACCATATTCTCAACTTAGATATTCACATGAATAAAGACATTAACTCATTTAAGTCTTGCCAATAAACACAAACTTTTTTTCTCTGTTAACTCAGAATTTCACAAACTACTTTTTTTTAAATAACACCAAATCTGTTTTTTTTTTTAAGATTTATTTATTTATCTATGCATACAAGAACTGGGGTACAGGCCAGAGATACGGGGGGTGAGAGGATTCACCAGAGACAGAGTGTGGAAAGAGAACAGGCAGACGCACTGAAATACACTGCTGAGGGGAGCAGTGGGCGAGACAGGAGAGGTCTGCTGCGCCATGTGGGTCACCTCCCCGGCTGGCCGGGGAATCGAACTCATGCTGCAGTGGCTGTGCACAGCTTCATAGGTTGCATCTTAACCCCTTGCACCATCAGGGAGGTCCCAGAATTTCACAAACTTCTTTATAGTTTTTTTTTTTTTGTAACCTTGTTTATATAATAGGCAAGTAGTAATGTTTTGTTGTGTGGTTTTTTTTTTTTTAAAGATTTATTTATTTTATTTATACAAGCACTGGGTACAGTCAGTCAGAAGCACGGGAGGGTGAGAGAATTCACCAGAGCCAGAGCAGGGAACAGAACAAGCAGACTGACGAAATACACTGCTGAGGGGAGCAGCGGGCACGGCAGGAGAGGTCCACGTGCCATGTGGGACCCTTGCTGGTGGCCGGGGATCGAACTGGCGCAGCAGAGGCTACTGGCAGCTTCCCAGCCCAGCGCTCAACTGCTGTGCCACCAGGGGAGGCCCTTGTTGTGTTTTTTTTTTAAAGATTTGTTTATTTTTGCATACAAGAACTGGGGTACAGGCCAGAGGGGTGTGGAGGGTGGGTGAGAGGATTCACCAGGACAGAGTGGGGAACAAAACAGGCAGACTGACTGAAATACACTGCTGAGGGGAGCAGTGGGCGAGAGAGGAGAGGTCTGCTGTGCCATGTAGGTTGCTTCCTGGCTGGCTGGGGATTGAACACATGCTGCAGAGGCTGTGGATTGCTTCATAGGTTGTGTCTTAACCCCTTGTGCCACCAGGGAGGCCCCAGTAATGTTTTTATATAGCAAAAATTTTGGGAAATGTTGCTAAACGATAGAACTCTCTTGTATTTTCTTGCTTTGTTAATCCAGCTATTTTCTACAAAAGTTGGTTTTACCATTTTTGACCACATTGGGATTCCATCATTAAAAATTCTGCTTTGATAGATGAAAATAGCATTTTGTTGTTTTAACTTATATATCCTTAGATTATTAGGTTGAACTTGTTTTATCATTTATAACAATAATAATGCAAAAAAACAGCCTTTAAAACCCACACCCTGAGTTCAAGTGCTGCTGCAGTTTACTGGCTTAATAACTTTGGGCAAGTTACTAAATTTCTCACCATCTGTAAAACTGTAATAATCATTTATGGAGTTGTGAAAATGAAAGAAAATAATCTGTAGCAACACTAAGTGCTGTGCTTGGTACAAAGCAAGGACTCAGTAAAGGATAGCTATTTTCTTTTGCATATCAACTATCAAATCTCCATACCATTCACTCTTACAGTCAAGACTCTAAGATGAACACAAGCCACTTGGGGGGAGGGAGCGGACAGTAGCATGCTGATATGTAGTCAAGACTGAGCACAGAGTGCAGATGCTACTTTTGTGATATCCTAAAGTTTGTTTCCTTCGCTGTACATAATACTTACCTAGAATACCTACCTGTTGTCTAATCTCAACGAGGTAGTTGGACAAAGTTTCTGGTTTAATGTTCCTACTTATTAATAAATGTTCTTTCCTAATCATTCTTAACATACTATCAGTTTTCTACGGCTCTGATTTTGCTTATTATTCTTTGTAGACTGTCCTTCCCTGTAGAAGTATTAGCCCCTGACTTGCTGTTATTACTAACTACCTAGTCTTTAAGATCAAGACCTTGAGGTTTTTCTGATTTCCTATTATCGTCCCTTTTCAAACAAGGCATGATTATTTATTCTCTTAAAGTGTCTTTTTTTTTTTTGCATAGAAGAACTAGGGTGTAGGCCAGAGGTACAGGGGGTGAGAGGACTCACCAGAGACAGAGTGGGGAGCAGAACAGGCAGACTGACGAAATATACTGCTGAGGGGAGCAGCGGGCGAGTCAGGAGAGGTCTGCTGCGCCATGTGGATTGCTCCCTGGCTGGCCGGGGATGGAACTTGTGCTGCAGAGGCTGCCAATTGCTTCATAGTGCAGTGTTTAACCCCTTGCACCACCAGGGAGGCCCCTCTTTTTTCTTTTTTTACAAAAATTATATTAAAAAATAAGTAATACAAGACACACAGATGTGTATTTTAAGGGTTAATGGTTTCTACTATTACTTCCAAGTTTCCCCCCCCCCTTTTTTTTTTTAATTTTTTATTGTGGTTACATTGGTTTACATCAGTGTAAACCATATCTTAAAAGTATAGGATTCAGATGTTGTCCCCATAGCACACCACCATGAAAACACCCACAACCCCCCACTACAATCCATTGTGCACCCTCCCCAATTTGTTCTTACCCCTCTCCAACCTCCCCCCGCTTCATACCTCAGTTTGGGTTTGCCCCTCTAAAGGTAACTGGCATTAAAGGCTTGGAATGTGGACTTCCACACTTTTGCCGATTTCTCCCATTACCCAAAAGTAGACTGTTGCCATTTGGTATGATTTGGTAGGTTATTTTTTGCATCTGAGAATACTCTAAATTTTTTCCATATAAATTAATGAGAGTAGCATTCCCAGACTCAAAAAGTAACTACCAATTAGGAATGTTCTAATTTCGGGTAGAAGAGGAAACCTGTCTACAGACATTAAGTGCTGCTCCTTGCTCCAGCAAGGTTGGGAGCATGCGCTTCACAGTGGGTCTCAAAGGGATCCTTGGGGATTCCCTAAGATCCATTTATGATGTCTGCAAACATAATTTTTTTTTTAAAGATTTATTTATTTATTTATACAAGCACTGGGCACAGTCAGAAGCGTGGGAGGGTGAGAGGATTCACCAGAGACAGAGCGGGGAGCAGAACAGGCAGACTGACAAAATACACTGCTGAGGGGAGCAGCGGGTGTGGCAGGAGAGGTCTGTGCGCCATGTGGTACCCTCGCCTCGTGACCAGGGATCAAACCAGTGCTGCAGAGGCTGCAGGCAGCCTCGCAACCCAGCGCTCAACCGCTGCGCCACCGGGGAGGCCCATAATTATTTTTATACTATACTATTATTTGCCTTTTTTTGCTGGGTTGACATTTACACCAGTAGTGCGAAAGTAACAGAGGGAAAACTGCTGGTCCTTTAGCTTAAGCAAGGTGGTGGCACCGACTGTAGTAGGCGTCGTGTTCTTCACTGCCATACGCTTGCAGTAAATAATGCCAATTTTTCTTAAGAATATACTTGCTGGGCCTCCCTGGTGGTACAAGGGGTTGGGTACCGTATTGTGGGGCAATCCCCAGCCTCTGCGGTGCGAATTCAATCTCCAACCAGCCAGGGAACAACCCACATGGCGCAGCAGACCTTTCTCGTCTCTCCCACTGCTCCTCTTAGCAGTGTACTTTACGGTTAATCTGCCTGTTCTGTTCCCTGCTCTGTCTCTGGTGAATCCTCTCACCCGCTGCATCTCTGGCTTGTACCCCAGCTCTTGCATGCATAAATAAATAAATCTTTAAAAAAATAAGGGCCTCCCCGGTGGCGCAGCGGTTGAGCGCTGGGTTGCAAAGCTGCCGGCGACCTCTGCGGCGCTTCGATCCCCGGCTGCTCCCCGGCCACCGGAGGAGGGTCCCACATGGCGCGCAGACCTCTCCTGCCGCCCGCTGCTCCCCTCAGCAGTGTACTTCGGTCCTTCTGCCTGCTCTGCTCCCCGCTCTGGCTCTGGTAAATTCTCTCACCCTCCCGCGCTTCTGACTGTACCCAGTGCTTGTATAAACAAAACGAACGAACAAACAAACAAATAAATAAATAAAAAAAAAAAAACATGCCTCTATAAAAAAAAAAAAAAAATATATATATATATTATATATATACTTGATGCAATAAAAATTGCTGATTTATTAAACCCTGGCTCTGAATATATACCCTCCCCCCAGCTTTATTGAAATATAATTGACATGTAACATTGTGTATGTTTAAGGTGTACATGTGATGATACGGTGCACATATATACTACAAAATGTTTACCACAAAAAGGTTAGTTAACATGTCCTTTATCATGTAATCACCATTTTATTGTTGTTCAGGTGAGAACATTAAAGCTCGAGTCTCATAGCATCTTTCAAGTATATAGTATTGTTAACTGTTGCCCCCATGCTATACATTAGATCCCAAAACTATTCATCTTCTAACTGAAAGTTACACATCTTTTTTTTTTTTTTTAAAGATTTATTTATTTTTATACAAGAGCTGGGGTACAGGCCAGAGGTGCAGGAGGGTAAGACGATTCACCAGCGACAGAACGGGGACCAGAACAGGCAGATGACCGAAATACATTGCTGAGGGGAGCAGCGGGCGAGACAGGAGAGGTCTGCCACACTGTGTGGGAATCTCCCTGGCCGGTGGGAATTGAACCCGAGTTGCAGAGGCTGCAGACAGTTTCACAGTGCTACGCTCAACCCACCAGGGAGGCCCTACACATCTTTTTTTTAAAAAGATTTATTTATTTATGCATACAAGAGCTGGGGGTGTAAGCCAGAGGTGTGAGTACGGCAGGGGAAATGAGCGGATTCACCAGAGACAGTGGGGAGCAGCACAGGCGGATCCACTGAAATACACTGTTGAGGGGAGCAGCGGGGAGACATGAGGGGTCTGCTGTGCCATGTGGGTCAGCTCCCTGGCTGGGGATCATACTTGAACTTGGTGTTGCAGTGGCTGCTGATAGCTTCTTAGTGCTGAGATTTAACCCCTTGCACCACCAGGGAGGCCCAAGTTACACATCTTTTTAATGTTGACTAAATGGGAAGTAAGCACTAAATACTGCACACCAAAGTAAGATTGTGTCTCAAGGAGAAGCTCTGGTGGGAGTCATCCAATAAACCTCCTTTGTATGGAAATCCATTTTCATTTGAAAGAACCACTGATAAACTATAGTAATTCAGACTTGGAATCTGGTAAGCATTTTCCTGAAAATGTAGGAAGCAAACCTGTCACTTCAAAGAAAACAGTTGACAATGTTGCCAGCTAAAATTTAAGCCTTCAAGTGAAAATGAAAATTTTGGAAAAGTTGTGTCTATCACTGTGAGCTTAATAGTTTCCCAGTGAAGACATTCTGAGATTAATGAATGTGATTTTTTTAAATATTGCGTAGTGAAATGCATATTACAAAACAAGAGTGGAAGGAGGATCTTGAAACAAAAAAGATCTGAGGATTTGCTGTTCTATACATTATCCTGCAACTTATTTTTTCACCTAGTATATCATCAACACCATTTAATGTCAGTGTGTTTATATCTACCACTCTTTCCCATAACACAGAGCTGCTGCCCTGTCATGTGGATGTTCCAGATGTATTTAACCAGTCACTAGTAAGGACCAAGTTGCCTTCAGCATTTTGCTAATTTAAATAATGTAGCAACAAACATCATTTACATATATCTTTTGTGTACTGGAGCTTTAACATCTGTAGTAGAGATTCCTAAGAATTGAGCTGTTTTTCATAATCTGCAAATAAGACTTCCCTTCTCTACAACAGCTGCTCTGCTCATTTCTCCTTCCTATGGTTCTTGTTTTTGTCCCTTTACTCTTTCATTCACTTACTGCCTTTTGATGTCCCCCATGCATTTTTTTTTTACTTACTTTTTTTTTATTCATACAAGCACTGGGTACAGTCAGAAGCGCGGGAGGGTGAGAGAATTCACCAGAGCCAGAACGGGGAACAGAACAGGCAGGCTGACGAAGTACACAACCATGCATGTTTTTTAAAAACTCCGTTCCCTTCCTGTCTTACCAACTAAATAATAAAAATAGAGACTCCCCAAGGGCAGGGGAGGTGCATCATGCGGTGTAGACGCGTTCAGTAAATAATGACAGGGGCAAGACTGAGTGTTAATATGAGCAAAGGTGCGTTAATGGACTGCTGCTGAGGGAAACTGTGCATTCATGCATTCTTTCAGCTGGAGAACGATTTGAAAATTCGAAAGAGTAACTCCAATTTAATTCTCTCATTTCAGGCAAGTACATCGCCTCAACACAGAGACCTGACGGGACCTGGCGCAAGCAGCGAAGGGTGAAAGAAGGCTATGTACCCCAGGAGGAGGTCCCAGTGTGCGTGGTTAGGCCTAAGGAGGGGGTATTTAACGGGGTCCCCACATTAAGAAAAAACATATGTGCCTGTGAGTTCAGGGAAGAATTTTCTGATTCCAGGATCCCAGGAAATGGAAGGAGGGACTGGGATTCAAGGATGAGCGAGGTTTACCAGTGACTAGTCCTGTTCCTGTGGCCTCTGTTCATCAGAACCTCCAAATAGCATCTCAAGATCTAGAGCTTTGGGCCATAGGGACCCTTCTACAACCCGCAGAGCAGAGGAAAGGTGGGGGAACAACCACAGAGAAAGGGGGGCAGCAGGAGAGTGAAAAAGATGGAGTGATTTGGGAGGTTATGAAAAGGGTAGAAAGTCAGTGATTCAAATGTGTGTTCCCTGCAGGTATGAGAACAAGTATGTGAAGTTTTTCAAGAGTAAACCAGAACTTCCCCCAGGACTGAGCCCTGAGGCTACTGCTCCCGTCACCCCATCCAGGCCTGAAGGTGGTGAGCCAGGTCTCTCCAAGACAGCCAAACGCAACCTGAAGCGGAAGGAAAAGAGGCGGCAGCAGCAAGAGAAAGGGGAGGCAGAGGCCTTGAGCCGGACTCTAGATAAGGTGTCCCTGGGAGAGACAGCCCAGCTCCCCAGTGCTCCACCGGGCTCCCAAGCAGCCCCCACAACTGCCTCTGACCAACCTGATTCAGCTGCTACCACCGAAAAGGCCAAGAAGATAAAGAACCTGAAGAAGAAACTTCGGCAGGTGGAAGAGCTGCAGCAGCGGATCCAGGCCGGGGAAATCAGCCAGCCCAGCAAAGAGCAGCTGGAGAAACTAGCAAGGAGGAGGGCACTGGAAGAGGAACTAGAGGACTTGGCGCGAGGCCTGTGAGGCCGGGGCACAGGGAACGGACAGAGAAACAGACCATGGAGCTCCCTGGGGCCCTGGGGAGTGTGGGCAGCAGGAGTCAGGAGGGGCGCTCCTCCCATCCTGCCTGGCTTCCAGCTCTCATGGCCCAGCTCTGCCCTCCAGAGCCTAGCCGCTCCCCCATTCCTTCCCGTGTCCTCCCAGCTCCTGTTTTATGGACTTTGCCCCCGCCCATCCCCAGTGTTCAGAATCTCAGTGACTACCCCAGGTACCTTTGCTGCTGATTTGGGTGTCTTGTTTAAAAGAAAGTGGGGTGGGTGGGAGCATTTTGGAGAACTGAGGCTGAGGGTAGGGGGAGTACACCCAGGTCTTGGAGTCTTGGTTCCTATTCGCAGTGTTTATGGGTTATTTCCCGCTCCATCCCTCACCTCTTTTTTTTTTTTTTTTTTTTTTTTTTTAAAGAACAGAATAAACTCAAGTAGACATCATGTGTCTGGCTTGGCTTCATTCCAGTTTGGTACAGGAAAACAAGTTTTAGGGCTAACACTCCCTTTAATTTTTTAAAAATGATGAATATATGACTAAATTAACATCAGTGATTTCTGTGTATGTTTGCTCAGACTTCATTGACAGAAATTAGTGTTATAATAAAATGAAACTTAGAAAAAATTTAATTTGACATGTTAATTTACATGGGCCATCATTGTCCTGCCTAGCAAAGGGGACTTTTGTACCCCATTTTGTACCTCTCTTACTATTTCTTTTTTTTTTTTTTAATAGAGGAATGTTTTTATTCATTTATTTATTTGTTTGTTTTATACATGCACTGGGTACACTCAGAAGCGCGGGAGGGTGAGAGAACTCACCAGAGCCAGAGCGGGGAGCAGAGCAGGCAGAAGGACCGAGGCACACCGCTGAGGGGGGCAGCGGGCGTCAGGAGAGGTCCGCGCACCATGTGGGACCCTCCTCCGGTGGCCGGGGAGCAGCCGGGGATCGAACCGGTGCCGCAGAGGCTGCGGGCAGCTTCGCAACCCAGCGCTCAACCGCTGCGCCACTGGGGAGGCCCTCTTACTATTTCTTTTTTTTTAAATTTATGCATACAAGAGCTGGGGTACAGGCCTGAGGTGTGTGTGTTGGGGGTGGGTGGGTGAGAGGATTCACCAGAGACAGAGTGGGGAGCAGAACAGGCAGATGTACTGATTACACTGCTGAGGGGAGCAACGGGCAAATCAGGAGAGGTCTGCTGCCCCATGTGGGTAGCTCCCTGGCTGCCTGAGGATCGAACTCGTGCTGCAGTGGCTGCGGACAGTTTCACAGACTGCATGCATCTAAACCCCTTGTGCCACGAGGGAGGTCCTCTTCCTATCTCTTTTTAAAGGTAATCTTGATCTACCACACAACTTCCCTAGAGCAGATCCTTTGAAAATTTACCTTCTCAGGGCCTCCCTAGTGGTGCAGTGGCTTGAGCGCAACACTGTGAAGCTGTCCGCAGCTTCTGCAGCACAGGTTCGATTCCGGGCCGCCCAGGGAGACACCCACATGGCACGGCAGACTTCTCCTGTCTCACCTGCTGCTCCCCCCAGCAGTGTCTTCAGTCCATCTGCCTGTTCTGCTCCCCGCTCTGTCTCTGGTGAATTCTCTCACCCTCCTGTGCCTCTGACCTGTACCCCAGTTCTTGTATAAATAAATAAAAAATCTTTAGGAAAAAAATAAAAAAAAATTCACCTTCTCAGATGCCACCCCAATATGGCATTGTGGGGTAAATTAGTGATACAGGAAGAGAAATTTACAACCAAAAATTGCTGTCACTTGATTTTTGCATATTTTGTGATTCCACACCCTTGCTTAATGCAATCTTTCTAATCAGCTGCCATTGCAGAGACCCACAGAGGTGGGTGTCAGCTGTAGTCAACTACCACAGGAATTCAGGGTTCTTAGCCTGACTTACAAGGTGCCATACAACCTGGTCTCATTTCTTGCCATTGCTCAACTCTGCTCAAATTCCATGTTCTGGTGATACTGAACTGCTTTTCAGTTATTATAAAAGCCCTATTCTGTGAACCTCAGTCCTTGTTCCTGCCTGTTCTTTTTGCCTAGGCTTTCTGACTCTCCTTAATTAACTCTTTTTTTTTTTTGTCACCATCACCCCAGTTTTTTTTTTTAATTTTTAAAAAAAGATTTATTTATTTATACAAGCACTGGGGTACAGTCAGAAGCTGGGAGGGTGAGAGAATTCACCAGAGCCAGAGCGGAGAGCAGAACAGGCAGACTGACGAAGTGCACTGCTGAGGGGAGCAGCGGGCGGCAGGAGAGGTCTGCGCGCCCTGTGGGACCCTCCTCTGGTGGCTGGGGAGCAGCCAGGGATTGAACCAGCACTGAAGAGGCTGTGGGCAGCTTCACAACCCAGCGCTCAACCGCTGCACCACCAGGGAGGCCCCCTTAATTGACTCTTACTAGCCTTTGGATTGTACCTTAAATGATACTGTCTCTGGGAGAATTTCATTACTTTCAAGTATTAAATTAGGTGCTTCTCTTCATTTGCTTCCTTCACACTCTACACGTAGGTTTGTAATGACATTTATTACTTTATATTGTCCTGTTTACTAGTTATCCCTGATCATCAGAACATGTGCTCCTTGAACTGTAGCAGCATGCCAACATAGTGCCCAATATAATAAGTTATCAAAATTTTTTAAAAGATTTATGCATACAAGAGCTGAGGTGTAGGCTGGGGTAGGGGGTGAGAGGATTCACCAGAGACAGAGTGGGGAGCAGAACAGGCAGATCTACTGAAATCCACTGCTGAGGGGAGAAGCAGGGAGACAGGAGAGGTCTGCTGCGCCATGTGGGTCAGCTCCCTCCCTGGGGATCCAACTGGAGCTGCAGTGGCTGTGGATAGCTGCATAGTGCTGAGACTTAACCCTTTGCGCTACCAGGGAGGCCCCAACATAAGACTTTTAAAAGCCCAATTTTGCTTGTGTAGGTTCCCTACATCATTAATGATTTTAGAAAGAAAATTTATTTCATTTATATGTAAGAATCTTTATAAGTTCAGATGTTTTAGAGGAATCCGTACTTTAAAAACTATTACTAAGGAGAGATTTATTTGCTTTGCAAAAGAATATACCACAGTGAACATTTAACATTTACATTTCCTGGGTATTTAATGGTTTGATAACAGTTTATTTTGATATTTGTTGGACTCTTGTCAATCTTTCAGTCATTGTGCTAGTCTAAAGGGATGCAATTATGAATACATTGTAGAACCTTCATTTAAGGAAGCTATTAAGTCTCATAAATCAACTAAACATGAGGCACATTTAATGCGATGCTATGGTGGAGCTATCATGATGTGTTGAGGGAGAGCTAAGAAGCAATTTATTCCTATTGGGGGGAATGGGGAGGCTTAATGCTGGATCGGGTTTTGAAGACCATGACTCACACCTCAAAGGCAAGTAGGGGAGAGCAAGTATGTACAAAAGCTTGGCAGCCTGAAAGGTATGGTGAAATTTGCTTTTAATATTGCAGGGGCAAATTTCTTTAGTGTTAATCACCTGCTATAGTATGAAAATTTGCATATAAGCTAGCGGGTTTTATTTATTTATTTATACAAGAACTGGGGTATTACAGGTCAGAGGCACGGGAGGGTGAGAGGTTTCACCAGAGACAGAGCGGGGAGCAGAACAGGCAGACGGACTGAAAACACTGCTGAGGAGAACAGCAGGTGAGACAGGAGAGGTCTGCCCTGCCATGTGGGTATCTCCCTGGTAGGCTGGGAATCGAACCCACGCTGCAGAGGCTGCAGACAGCTTCGCAGAGCTGCGCTCAACCCGCTGCGCCACCAGGGAGGCCCTCCAATATTTTTTCTTAAGTAGAATATAAAGGAATAGGAAACCAGAGAGACTGATGCTTCATAAGGTCAATGTCTCATGATACATTTGTAAGATATATTCTCTACTTGGTTTGCAGCATATAAGTTTGAAAGCCACTAATAAGATCAACACTGAAAGACTGAGATATTACTCTCTTTCTGGTCCTGTTATTTGACATAGATAGTATAGAAGGGTAGTAGTTAAATTACTTCTCCACTGACACTTGGAGCTTATGACAAAGTAGCCCCTCACTTTATTTTGTATTCCCGAGGCTATGTTACTATTTATTTGGCATTTCTTTTCTCTTAACAGATGATTCCTTCCTGATGTGTAAATAACAGTAGAACTGGCGGTTTATCCTTATGGGCTCAGAGCTGGTGGGGTAGTTTCTTATTGTCCACTAGGTGGTACTGTGAGGGCCGAGATATATATATATATATATATATTTTTTTTTTTTATTTAAATTTTTTTATTTCATGTATTTTTTACATAATTTTTCATTCTTGCACAATGTATGCATTTTCACCTTGGTTATAGTCCCCATACGATTCCCACGACCCTTGTTTTGATCCTACTCCTTTCTCCTGCACCACCCCTCCCCACCCCACCCCCCACCCCCGCCATAGTGTGTCTCTGGTTTATAGTTGCTTGTTGATTTTGATTTTTACTTTATTATAATTAGTCTTTCACCTGGTCCCTTATTTAAGTTTTCTAGATTCCTGCTATGAGTGAGACCATCCGGTATTTTTCTTTTTCTTTCTGGCTTATTTCGCTGAGCATGATCCCTTCCAGCTTCATCCATGTTGCTGCAAATTGCATGATTTATTTGCAAGTTATCCGTGGACACCAGCTTGTTTGAAATTAACAACTAAATGTATTCAGCTAGATAATCCTTCCTCTTCAGGTTCCCAGGCCTCCCAGGAGAGAGTATCTGGAGCTCTCTAACCTACACAGCTGTAACCTAGTCTATAAATTGAGGAGGATAGAGAATTTGAGATGGAGAAGGGATAATTTTTTTGTCATATTGCAATTTCACGAAAGAGGTCAGGAATGCATTCCATCCTCCCCAGGAGATCAAAGAAAGATGCTGAAGTGAAAGAGGGGATGATAGAGGTTATACCCCAAAATTAATAACTGGTTGAATGGGGTAATAGAATTGCCTGCAAGAAAGAGAGGAGTTATTAAAGGATCCTTGGGAAAGAAGAAATAATCATGGATTTCAATTAAATTCAGCAAACATTTTAGAGAGCCAGAAGAATACAAAGTTGAATAACTATTGCTACCTCCTTTCTAAAAGCTCAAGAGAAACAAGGTAAGCTATGGAAACAACTCAAATGCCCAAAAATAGGTGACTGGATCAAGAAGATATGGTATATATACACAGTGGAATATTACTCAGCAATCAAAAAAGATAAACACATGCCATTCACTGGAAGGGATCATGTTCAGTGAAATAAGTCAGAAAGAAAAAGAAAAATATTGGATGGTTTCACTTATAGCAGGAATGTAGAGGATCCAAATAAGGGATCAGGAAAGAAAAAAAAGTAATTATAATAAAGTAAAAATCAAAATCAACAGGCAACTATAAACCAGAGACATTCTGCAGAGGGGGAG